ACTACCACTGTGTTGGTGATAAGGGCTCAGAGGTGGGGAGCTTGTGTGGAGCCGCTGGTGGCTGGGCCTTCCCTGAAAAGAAGCACTCTAGGATGGGGAGAAAGGCTTTCCCACCCCAGGACTGCCCCCTCCCCACACCTCAGGAGGATCGTGCCCACCAGACAGCAGGGTGTTCCGAGGCTCCTCAATGAGTTTAAGATTTGAGTCAGATGGTCCACCCTTACCCTCCAGTCCTTAGCACCTAGCCTGGCCAGTGGTGGCACCTCACAGCCTTGACCGATGGGGGTGGTGGTGGTATTGTTTCAAAACCTGCCTGGAAGGCTCACCCCTGGAATTCCAGGGGTTGGGAGGTGGAAGCAAGATCAGGACTTCAGAGTCATCCCTAGCTACATGACGAGTGCTCCGCATGAGACCCTGCTTAAAACCCCAAAAGAAGACCTCCTGGAATGTGACCCCACTTCTCACTGGAGTCCTTTTTTTTTTTTTTTTTTTTTTTTGGTTTTTTCAAGACAGGGTTTCTCTGTGGCTTTGGAGGCTGTCCTGGAACTCGCCTGGTAGTCCAGGCTGGTCTCGAACTCACAGAGATCCGTCTGCCTCTGCCTCCCGAGTGCTGGGATTAAAGGCGTGCGCCACCAATGCCCGGCCTCACTGGAGTCCTTTAGTTTTCTACTGCTCCAGCCTTCACATTTTTTTTTCATGATCTTCTGGGATCTTGGAAAGCAGGTTTGGAGGCAGATCAAATAAAACCCTGGTTCCTAGTGCCTTCTGGCCGGTGAGGAGTTCTCACTTTACTCTGGAGGTGACTTAGCGAGGTCTTCTGCCGCAGACGTCTTGCAGAGAGTCCCAGCAGCTGTCTTTGGAGTGGTGTCTTCCTCTTTCAAGCCTCCTCCGAAGCCTTCAAGTTGGCTGCAGGATTTGTGAGCGACAGGGACCCTCAGCAGAGCCTCGGGCACACAGGAGTTGAGAACGAGCTTCACATGAGTTTTCATGCACCGTGACAAATGGCAATGTCCCTCTGCAAATCTGCCTCACAGCAAGGCATGTCCCACTTCGTGTCTCCAGCCAGGACAGTGTGACAGGGTGTGGGTTAGTGTGCCCACTGAGGGAAAGCATGCCTCTCTCAGAGTGACTTCAGCCCCTAGAGCAAGGCTTTACATGCATAACTGCAACTGAGAAGTAGTCAGGTGGATTGGAAGAGACTCAGATTCTTCTAGAAGCAATGCCAGCTTTAGAGTTAATGTGGAAGAGGTTTGCCATCTTTCTGGTGATCGATTTTAATCAGCACGCTTCAAGTGTGAACTCCCCCTTCTCTTGTGTTCTGAAACTGTGTAATGTGCTCTTTGTATATTTTATGAAGGCCCTGAGTGGGTGCTAAACTTTACTACTCTAATTAATGCAAGACGTATGTGTGTTTTAATTTAAAACAGAGAAAAACTCTCTGCTGAAGTGACAGCCAGTGGTGTGGGAGCACAGCCCGGGGCTTGTGTGAGTGACACCTCACAGTGGTGTGTGTGTGTGTGTGTGTGTGTGTGTGTGTGTGTGTTCAGAGAGCTCTGACTGGGCCATCCAGTTGGCTCTGGTTTGGGGTTTGCTACTGCCGCAGACTCAGGTCGGTGTCTTTGGATTCCTGCGTCCTGCACACACACAAGGTCATCCTGAGTGCTTGCCTCTCCTAGGCCCTCGGATTCTTCTGAGCTTGCAGCTCTGCATGTAAAGGTAGGTCTCAAGGATGGCCTGACCGGTGACTGGCGTGTGGCCATGCGCTGTGCTCGGTAGCTGGGGCTTGCCTGCAGGACTCCAAAGGCACCATCCATCCTGGGCCCTGCACAGTTCCAAGCCATGACAGAATTGCATCCACGAAGGGGCAGGATAGAGATTCTTTTCTCACTAGTGCTATGATCCAGAGCAACCTGAGTGTGAAAATAGGAGTGACCGGTATGCGAGGAAGAGGCGGGTCCATCGCTGCACAGGAAGCAGTTTACTGGGGACTCAGTGGCAGAAGCTCGGTCTCAAGTGGCAGCAAGAACAGTGGAGCCTCAGATCATTACCATTGCTTACAATTTTATTTGCCAATGTTGTGTGCATAGTAGGCAAGTTCTACATGAAATATCCAGCCCCAAATATTGAGACATGACTAATGTATTGATCGTCTGAGGTCAAGTGTAGAAGTATTTGGTATATTTTACAGTAGAAATAGTAGAATTACACCATGTAATTGCTTTTTTATTATTTATTTATTTATTTATTTTGGTTTTACGAGACAGGGTTTCTCTGTATTGTTTTGGAGGCTGTCGGTCTAGCCTGGCCTCGAACTCACAGAGATCCGCCTGCCTCTGCCTCCCGAGTGCTGGGATTAAAGGCGTGTGCCACCACTGCCCGGCGTAATTGGTTTTTTTAAAAAATTGCTTATGGGGGAGGGGGAGGGGAAGGGAGATAGGAGAAAGGAGGGGAGAGGAGAATATGAGGGATCAGGAAGATTGAGTCTGGGGATGAATAGAGTAGAGCAAGAAAAGAGATACCTTAGCCGGGCGTTGGTGGCACACACCTTTAATCCCAGCACTCAGAAGAGGCAGGCGGATCTCTGTGAGTTCGAGGCCATCCTGGTCTACAAAGTGAGTTCCAGGACAGCCTCCAAAGCTTCAGAGAAACCCTGTCTCGAAAAAACCAAAAAAAAAAAAAAAAAAAAAAAAGAGAGATACCTTAATAAAGGGAGTCATTACAGGTTTAAGGAGAAATCTGGCACTAGGGAAATGTCCAGAAATCCACAAAGATGATTCCCAACTAAGAATCTAAGCAATAGTGGAGAGGCTACCTTAAATGCTCTTCCCCTATAATGAGATTGATGACTACCTTAAATGCCCTCCTAGAGCCTTCATTCAGTAGCTGATGGAAGCAGAAGCAGAAATCCACAGCTAAGCACTGAACTGAACTCCTGGAATCCAGTTTCAGAGAGAGAGGAGTGATGAGCAAAGGGGTCAAGACCATGCTGGGTTAACCCACAGAAACAGCTGACCTGAGCAAGTGGGAGTTCCCCACCAGTCTGACAGGTGGGGAACCAGCATAGGACCAAACCAGGACCCCTGAATGTGGGTGCCAGTTGGGAGGCCCGGGCAGTCTCTGGGACCTCTGGCTGTGGAACTGGCATTCATTCCTAGTGCATGAACGGCCTTTGGGAGCCCATTCTCCAAGGAGGATACTCACTCAGCCTAGATACACGGGGGAGGGCCTAGGCCCTGCCCCAAATAATGTGACAGACTTTGATGATCCTCCATGGAAGATCTCACCCTCCCTGGGGAGTGGATGGGGAGTGGGAGGGGGTGGGGGGACATGGGAGGATGGGAGGGAGAGGGAACTGGGATTGGTATGTAAAATACAATTGTTTCTAATTTAAATTTAAAAAAAGGAAAAAAGAACTAAGGAAAAAAATCACTTGTCATCATTTGTCATGTGTGTGTGCAACGTGTGTTGGTACACTTATAGAGATCAGAGAACAACTTTGTGAAATTGGTTCTCTTGGACCTTTACATGGGTTCTGGGATCAAATTCATGTCAGCCTCATGCAGCAAGTACCTTTATCCTGGGCCATCTTGTCGGCCTCTGCCTATGCCTTTTAGAAACTTGGGGAAGTGCTTTGGCACCTGGGCAATGAAATTGTCCAGACACTGTTGAGAACTGTGTGCTGGCTGTACTTTTTAGTGTTGAGGGAGGACGGAAGAGCCCACCATTGATGCTTCTTAGCGTGTACCAGAAAACTTCAGCTGTCCATAACTCTGTGTACCACGCACAGTTCATTCAACTTTAACTTGCTGTCTTGTACATGTTACACACACTTCCTCTTGTCTGTGTGATGTCCTGAAAGCCTGGGACTTACAGAAAAGAAAATACACAGAGAGTGAGCAGCACCCTTAGGCAGCACCTGAGACCAGTGGAGGACGATGGCCTTACCACGCCCCCCAGCTGTCTTGTTTGCTTACGTTGGCAACTGACTTATATCTGGAGACTAGATATTATAAAATTAGGACACATTTGCTCTGTGTGTGTGTGTGTGTGTGTGTGCGCGCGCGCGCGTGTCTGTGAGAGCACGTCTGTGTGCGGACCAAGACCGGAAGACATCCTCAGGTGTCAGTCTACCTTGTTGGAACTCACTATACGGCTAGGCTGGACACCAAGGCCCAGAGATGCGCCTCTCTCTGCCTCCCCTGTGTTAGAGTGACAAGTGTGTGCCACCACACCTGGCTTTTCCACATGGCGCTGGGGCTCAAACGCCTCATACTGGCCGTCTCCCCAGCTGCTGCAGGGGAGTTTCAGGGGTTCCAGGGGCGTCAGGGAGAGAGGCGGTTGAAGTCTCTCACCATGTCTGCCTTGCTCTGACCAGACTCTATGAGGGGCGTGCTAGAGGAGGTTAAACTTGTCTAGTAGAAGAGCACACCTCCTGAACTGTGTCCCACAGGCAGGCACAAGCCTTGGGAGCCCATCACGACTGTTGGCTAGTCCTGGTGAGATGTCTGTATCGAGTGTGTGTTGAAGTCAAGTGCCCCTGCTCTCTGCTGGGGGCTACAGGCCTGCAGAATAGCCTTATGGTGGGCTTTGGGGTCAGGGGGTCTGATGAATGCACGCTCCACCTGAAATGCTTTCTCAGGCCTGGTCTCGTGTTCAAAACAGGGCTCCCCATACCTGCTGTGAGGACCTGAGCACTGCGAAGCCATGCTCCCCGACTTGGACAACCCCAACTGATCTTCAAGAAGACAAGGGTCCCAGGAAGGCAGCTACAGACCTGGAATGCCCAGTGCGCTTCCCATAACCTCCTGCTCGTGTCAACTTTCTGTAGTGCTGGATGTTTCCAGAAGGGGGCCCTCTAGTCCCTCCACGCCTCTGTTCCTGCCTCCGACCGCTAGATGTCAGTAAGAATCCAGTAAGTTGGTAGCTGTGGATCGGACCAGCACGGTCAGCTTTCTCTTCTCACCTTTCCTGTTAGTTCGCCAGCCTCTTGCACGCCTGTAGGGCTGCTTTAGGGGAAATATCAGGCCTGCCTGCTGCTGGCTGGGAGATTTTTGCTGGGAAAGGAGGCACCTTATGGCTCGTGTCCCTGGTCTCTTGGCGGGCCTAGGCAACAGCAATCTTTGCAGAACTTCCTGTTGCCTAGGGGAGGTTGCTTTAGACTGGACAGCTGGTGCCTGCATCCGCGTCCTCCTGGAAGTGCAGGCATTTGGGGTTTCACCGCTTAGGTAGGGTCTAGTCACTTCTCCAGGATGCCATCCACGGCAGGTAGCCGCGCTACTTGGTCCGGGCTGGGGAAAACTGTCTCAAAGAGGGAGGGGCTGGGCGGGACTCCGGGAAGAGTGTGGGCGGGGCTCTGTCTGAAGGGCGTGGCCCCTAGCACGCCGGCTGAGCCCGCGCACCCACACTCATGCTGCCGTTGTGGCTCAGAGTCCTCCGCCGGTGTCTCCAGCATGTCCCCCGCCGCGTCGCCTGCCGCCAGGCGTCCCAGGGCGCGAAGGCCGACAGAGCAGGGTAAAGCGGGTGGGACGGCGCTCAAGGGAGAGACAGGGTGCAGCATTTGTTAGTGGCTTGCAGAATCCTGCTCCTGTGCCGGGTCACACCAGACACCTTGGGAAGTTCGGTCTGGGCCGCGAAGCTGCGGCGTTTGGTGGAGGAGGTCCCTTCGGAGTGTGGTTCTCAGGGTCCCTGGTTGGTCTCGGGCCCACTTCACGATTCCTACGCTCTTTGTCACGTGGCCTTAGCTTTCCGTCCTTACCCCAGGTCACCAGCTTGCCCTGCTGGACTTCCTGGGCACTGAGGAAGAGGCCCTGCACTTGCGTCCTGGAGTTGGGATGGGTCTCTTTCCCTCCCGCACTGAGGTTCCCAGAAGCACAGCAGCTAGAGCTCTCTGCTGAGGGGTTGTTGCTAACTTAGTGCTTAGGGAGGCGGTGTTCTGGTGTGATAGCAGGAGTGGGGTGGGGGAGTTCACAGTGAAGACAGCTCTTCCAAGGTCAGCTTTTACAGCAGGCCTGCTGACTTGCCTTTGGTAGCTCAGCTCCTGCTGGGGGAGCTCAGTTCTTGGGCTCTGGGGATTCCAGGGAAAGACAGGCCACCTGTCCCCAGGGGACAGAATTACGGGACAGAATTGTGGCCTCTTGGAGAAGCTGCTAGGTTGCAGGTGCAGGGCAGGACACCCAGGTACCTTGCTTTTTGATGGCCTTGCTTGGTCTCTGACAGTACGAGGGAATGTCACTTATGCCGCGATGAGTTTACAGTCTCTATTTCCGTGTCCTTGTCTGTGAAATGGGGATGGTGGTAGAATCCACCTAGCAGATTTTTTTTTTTTTTTTTTTTTTTTGTTTTTACGAGGCAGGGTTTCTCTGTATTGTTTTGGAGGCTGTCGGTCCAGCTCGGCCTCGAACTCACAGAGATCCACCTGCCTCTGCCTCCGGAGTGCTGGGATTAAAGGCGTGCGCCACCACCGCCCGGCATCCACCTAGCAGTTTTGGTGATGAGCTTGACACTCTCGGTCCTGTCCACATGTTATGACGTTGGGTGAATGCTGGAGGGAAGTGTTGTCTGAGCCGGCGTCATGAAGAACTTCTGCATCTTCAGATCTGGGGATGCCAGAGCTGGCAGCAGACTACAGCAAAAACCATTGCCACCTAGACCCATAAGATAGGCGGAGTGGGATCTGGAACCTTCCACACCACTCCCTTCCCCTCTGCGTTGTTCACGGGACGCCCCTCAGGCATCCAAGTTTGCCAGAGCTCCTAGTGCTCACGAAGCCTGGCCCGGCTCCTTTCTTTCTCAGGACATACCCAGCATTGCTTTCTGTTCTGGTCCCTTGTCCCCTGCCCCCCCCCCCCACCGCCTACTCTCATTTTCAGTCGCCGTAGCTCTACCCACCTGATCCCTTCCCTGCAGGGACATCAAGAAAGGCTCTTTAGAAAAATATGTCAGCCGGGCGTTGGTGGCGCACGCCTTTGATCCCTTCACTCAGGAGGCAGAGGCAGGCGGATCTCTGTGAGTTCAAGGCCACTCTGGTCTACAGTGAGCAACTTCCAGGACTACATAGAGAAAACATGTCTCAAAAAACCCAAACCGACCAAACAAAAACAGAAACTGTCAAACCAGGCATGATAATATGTATTTATTAGTACCCAGCTGTCAGCTTTGGCCCTGCCCTTTAGGCTCTGTCTTCCTAGGTAAAGCTGAGGGGGAGGCGCTCGGATGTGGGGAGAGCAGGCCTCACTTAGGCTCTCGTCTGTCCTCTCAGGTGGGAAGGAAACGTCCAGAACATCGTGAAGTGGAGGCAGCTGGAGCACAGGGGCCCATACTTCACCCCTGCCTACGAGCCCCTTCCTGACAGCGTACACTTCTTCTATGACGGTGAGGCGGAGGGTGTGTGTTTTCTTGGGTTTGGGCCGCCTGGGTGCTTTGGGCTGACTTTCTGTCTGTCAGCATGCTGGGAAGATGTGCTGAGCTTCCCAACAAAGCCCTCTTCCCTTCTTCTTGATGGACCGGCTAATAGCATAGAGGGAGGGCCAACCCTGGAGTCCCTCAGAAGCTCTCGGTGTGTGTGTGTGTGTGTGTGTGTGTGTGTGGTGTGTGTGTGTGAGTGTGTGTGGTGTGTGTGAGTGTGTGTGGTGTGTGTGTGGTGTGTGTGTGGTGTGTGTGTGTGAGTGTGTGTGGTGTGTGTGAGTGTGTGTGGTGTGTGTGGTGTGTGTGTGAGTGTGTGTGGTGTGTGTGGTGTGTGTGTGTGAGTGTGTGTGAGTGTGTGTGTGAGTGTGTGTGAGTGTGTGTGTGGTGTGTGTGGTGTGTGTGTGAGTGTGTGGTGTGTGTGAGTGTGTGTGGTGTGTGTGTGGTGTGTGTGGTGTGTGTGTGTGAGTGTGTGTGGTGTGTGTGTGTGTGTGGTGTGTGTGGTGTGTGTGTGGTGTGTGTGTGTGAGTGTGTGGTGTGTGTGTGGTGTGTGTGTGTGTGGTGTGTGTGAGTGTGTGTGGTGTGTGTGTGGTGTGTGTGTGAGTGTGTGTGAGTGTGTGTGGTGTGTGTGTGAGTGTGTGTGGTGTGTGTGAGTGTGTGTGGTGTGTGTGTGGTGTGTGTGGTGTGTGTGTGTGAGTGTGTGGTGTGTGTGAGTGTGTGGTGTGTGTGTGTGGTGTGTGTGGTGTGTGTGTCTGGTATGTGTGTGTGTGTGTGTGTGTACCCACTCACAGGTGTAGATGGCCACCGGCAGGCTGCTACAAGGAAGGAGAGGCACAAGTTTGTGTTGCAGGGACACACGTTGTATCCAGACTTGCCCAAGGTTGGGGGAGCTGCTTTGGTCTCCCAGCCTCTCCTGGGCACACGTTGACAGCGCACATCTGCATCTGGACTAGCCACCTGGTGGGGGAGGGGGCGGAGATACACAGTGTGTGCCCCGTATGTCCTTGTATGGTGTGGAACGCTGAACCTGTTCTATTCCTTTGTTGTTTGTTTGCTTGCTTTGGTATTTTGAGACAGGGTCTCACTATGTAGCCCTAGCTGGCCTGAAACTCTATGTAGAACACACTAACCTTGAACTCACAGACATGTACCCTCTCTGCCTTCTGAGTGCTGGAATTAAAGGCGTGGGTTACCACACCTAGCAGTTTGTTCCTCCTCCTCCTCTCCCTTCTTTTTTATTTATTTTATTTTAATTTAATTTTTTTGAAATAGGGCCTCTCTACACAGCCCTGACTGTCCTGGAACTCACTATGTAGACTAGGCTGGCCTCGAACTCACAGAGATCTGCTTGCCTTTACTTGTGATTTGTACACACATGCTGGGCCCATACTCACCTGTGTTGTGGCCTCAGGCACATGTGGATTGTGGAGGTCAAAGAGCAGCTTTGTACAGGGAGTCAGTGTTTGAGGGATCTCCATCAGGACTAGCCCCTGCACCCCCTGGTGTTCCGTCTGGGCTCCTGTGCACTCTTCTGTCATGACGTGCAGACAGTCACTGAGCACGGAGGGTCACATCTACAATGGTTCACATTTTCCCACTGTGGCACATTAACTTTTATTTTATTCCTGTAATTTCCTATATGGAAATTTGTGTTTTAGAATTGCACTTGTTAGGGCCAAGGGTATAGCTATGATGGAGTGTTTCCTGGCATGCATGAGGCCCTGGGTTCATCCCCAGAATTGCAATAAAATGAAAAAAAATTTTTTTCGAGACAGGGTTTCTCTGTGGCTTTGGAGGCTGTCCTGGAACTCACTTTGTAGACCAGGCTGGCCTCGAACTCACAGAGACCTGCCTGCCTCTGCCTCCCGAGTGCTGGGATTAAAGGTGTGTGCCACCAACGCCCGGCTGAAGATATTTTTGAAATAATCTTTTTTTTTAATGTATGTAATGTTCTGCTTGCATGCCTGCAGGCCAGAAGAGTGCACCAGTTCTCGTTATAGATGGTTGTGAGTCACCATGTGGGTGCTGGGAAGAGCAGCCAGTGTTCTTAAACTCTGAGCCATCTCTCTTGCCCAAAAATATTTTTTGAAAATGTGTGCTTTTTGGACCATCAAGATGGTTTGGTAAGTAAAGGCATGTGTTACTGAAGCCTGGTGGCTCAAGTTTTTTTTGTTTTGAGGCAGGGTTTCTCTGTGGCTTTGGAGCCTGTCCTGGAACTCGCTTTTATAGACCAAGTTGGTCTCGAACTCACAGAGATATGCCTACCTCTGCCTCCCGAGTGCTGGGATTAAATGCATGCGCCACCATCACCCAGCTGTGGCTCGCGTTTTGATCCTTGGGGCTCACATAAAGATGGAAGGAGAGGACCCACTCCACAGAGCTGCCCTCTGACTTCCACAGGCTCTGTGGCATGTGTGGTGCCCCTACCCTCTATGTGGGATGTATGTGCACACACACAATAATAATGAGATGTATGTGTTACTTTTCCATGTAACACAAGCTTAGTAACAAGATGCAGCATAATAAAGGAAGGAGAGAGGAGTAGCCGGGGCCGTTGCAAACCCCGCAGTGATGTTCCTGGCGCTGCTCTGGGAGTGTGTGACCATTGCTTTACTCAAGGGCTGGCCATTTTTAACGTCAGTGTGCCCCAAGTAATCTGTGTGCTCAGTAGGAGGTGTCACCAGGATGCGACCAGCGGCTCGTGTTTTGTCTGCAGGAAAGCCAGTGAAGTTGAGCTTGGCAGCAGAGGAGGTCGCCACTCTGTATGGGAAAATGCTGCACCTGGAGTGTACGACCAAGGAAGTCTTCCGGAGGAACTTCTTCAGCGACTGGCGGAAGGTGTGTGTCTGGCGGGGACTCCCTGGGGTGGGTGCTCAGTCTGCTGCCTAACTCCGTAGCCCATCCAGCTGTCAGTGGCCACAGTGTTTGCCCGGCATGGCAGACTGTGGTGACCTTTCCTGGGGGATCTAATGACAGCATCCAGCTCTCAGAATGGGAGTCTGGAGCAGTCCAAAGGGCGTTTTCTGTCCCATGAAAATAAGCACACAGTATGAGAGGATTATGTCAGGTTTCTCTCTTCCCTTGCTTTTTAAAACGTGTTATATGTGAGCCTGGCCTCATCTTCACATCTTGTTACCTAGCAACCACAAGCCTGCTCCCCCAGCATTTCTCCAGTGACTGACAGCATTGAGTGTCTTTTCCTGTACTGTTTGACGTTTGGATATTTTCTTTTGAATTATTAAAAAAATAATGTGTTTATTCTTATTTTATGTGCATTGGTGTTTTGGCTGTATGCATATCTTAGAGTTACAGATAGTTGTAAGCTGCCATGTGGGTAGTGGGAATTGAACCCTGGTCCTCTGAAAGAGCAGTCAGTGCTCTTAACTGCTGAGCCCCCCTTTAGATTTTTTTTTTTTTTTTTTGGTTTTTTGAGGCAGGGTTTCTCTAGGAGGCTCTTCTGGAACTAGCTCTTGTAGACCAGGCTGGTCTCGAACTCACAGAGATCCACCTGCCTCTGCCTCCCGAGTGCTGGGATTAAAGGCGTGTGCCGCCACCACCTAGTTCCTTTTGAAATTTTTGAGACGAGGTTTCTCTGTGTAGTGCTGGCTGTCCCGGGACTCCCTTTGCAAGCCGAGGCTGGCCTCTGCATTCTGAGCACTGGAACTAAAGGTGTGCACCACCACACCCAGGTTGTTTCTTTAATGTTTAAGATTGCACTGACGTCACATGACACCTCTCTGCGTAGTTTTGACCACGCCCATATTTTAATTCTCTACTCTCTCCCTATGTCTTCTGTCTGTGCTTTGTGGTATATGGCCTGTCTGTTGTGCCTGTGTCTGTCCCTAACAAAGTGCTTTGATCTGTGTTTATTGAACTGTTCCAGAAAACACACCCATTGTTACAGGTCAGGGGCATGGGAGAGTATACATTAGCTTGGGTTGTAAAAGCTAACTCCTTAAGAAAACCCAAGGCACAATAAGGTTGGTTACATTGTTTTCTTTTAAGATTTATTTATTTATGCATGCAGTATCCTGCCTGCAGCCAGAAGAGGGCACCAGATCTCAGTACAGATGGTTGTGAGCCACTATGTGATTGCTGGGAATTGAACTCAGGACCTTCGGAAAAACAGGCAGTGCTCTTAACCTCTGAGCCATCTCTCCAGCCCCACATTGTTTTATTTTGTTGTTGTTTGTTTGGTTGGTTGGTTCCTTTTTTTGTTTTGTTTTTGTTTTTTGAGACAGGGTTTCTCTGTGTAGCTTTGTAGTCCAAGCTGGCCTCGAACTCAGAGAGATCTACTTACCTCTGCCTCCCAAATGCTGGGATCAAAGGCATGCGTCACCACTACTCGGCCCACCTTTTCTTAAAGGCAAACAGGCTGAGTCCACAGTAGGACAGCAGGTTAAGTATATACTCTATTTTATTTTATGTGCATTGGTATTTTGCCTGCGTACACAGATATGTGCACCACAGGCATGCCTGGTGATGGATCCCCTGGAACTGGAGTTACAGACAGTTGTGAGCTGCCATGTGGTTCTGGGAATTGAACCCAGGTTCTCTAGAGGAGTAGCCAGTGCTCTTAACCACTGAGCCATCCATTTCCCCAGCCCCAAGTACATAGCCTTAACTGGTGTTAAGGCATATTATTAACTTGGCTGCGTAGTCTGGCAAAAGTTCAGACGTTCAAAGGCAAGAGGGATTTTTAAGATTCCACTGAGTGAATTTGCTGCAGATTACCCAGTGCTCTATAGCTGTCTTCTTTAGTTGTCCCTAGAGTGCAATTGGCGTCGCACCAACATGGGTAATTTGCATAGGGTATGGATCTGCAAGGTCGAGCTGGTGGGTCAGCTTTTCACCGCCTTCATCACCGAAACCTTAAATTACGTTTGGAAATGGTTGCCCTTGGCTATCCCACACCACCGCCCCCGCTTCTGTCTGGAGCGGTGCGATGCTGTCCCCGGAGCCTGGGCTGAGCCGCTCTGTTAGCAGCATCTTGACCCCTGATGGTGTGAGGCGTGCAGGGCCTTGCCCTAGGGAAGGATGTGGACTTAGGGGCTCACTTGGGGATTTCATTTGGTTGCTTTCTGGAAGAACAAGACTCAGAATATTAGCCAGGACTACAAGTCTGAAGCTGAGACTACACACGCCATCCTCTAAGCTGGCCCCATTCTTCCTGGGTTTACCTTGTCATGCACCCATGTCTTACCATTAGCCAGGAGGCAGCTGTTTCCGGCTGGGGTCACGTGACTTACCCACAGGACTCTACTGTGTACCTGGGCCTCTGGTATAATAGCTGTTGGAGGCTGAGGGTCTAGTGCAGCCTTCCTAATGCCGCAACCCTTTAAGACAGTTCCTCATGCTGATGACCCCCAAATTACTCTGTTGCTGCTTTGTAGCTTAATTTTGCTACTGTTATGAACAGAAATGTAAATATCTGATATACAGGATATCTGATAAGACTCCTGTGAAAAGGTCATTCAAACACCCCCACCCCCAGGGCCATGACCCACAGGTTGAGAACCACTGGTCTAGTGGCATGGCCTTGCTGCTCTGCCCGGTGGCGTTCAGCCCCGTGTTTGTGGTGTTTCACAGTAATCCTGTGCAGTGGGCCCCAAGTGTGGGCTCCCCGTGTCACAGGGAGGTGCCTGTGTTAGAGCACTGAGCACATGTTACTGGTTTTGGTACAGGAGATGACAGCTGAGGAGAGAGAGCTTATCACACGCCTTGACAAATGCGACTTTGCGGAGATCCACAAGCACTTCGTGGAAAGAGCTGAGGCCCGCAGGAGCCTGCCCAAAGAGCAGAAGCAGGTCAGTGGTGGGCTCTGGGAAACTTGGAGGTAGCTGGTGCAGGCTGCAGGGAGCCCCTCACAGAGCCCTCCTCCCACAGAGGCTTTGGGAAGTGGACCAAGTTCTAGGTGCTGTCACAGCAGGTGCTGAGCACTTTCCGGTAACCGCCCCCCCTTTTTAAAAATTGTGTCCAGGACATAATCCCATTTTCCTGGGGCACATTTGAAAGTACACTACCATTTGAAACATCGTGAGTGGCGGGGGGCCGAGGGTGGGAATGTGGGGGTGGGCTGGCTCTACTGCTTCCTGCCTCTCCCTCCATTTCGTGGAGTCCTCCAAGTGGCTCCTTCTCCGTTGTCCGCTCGGTGGCTAGCTATTGTGGGGACTTTGGGGTGATTCCAGGACCTGGCTCATTTCCTCCTACCTTGAAGGCTACCCTGCTTCTGCTTAGCTGCAGCTTGAGGAACCTCGTGTGGTCCCCACAGCTGCTGGAGACCTAGGGTTTGCAGCAGCAGCAACTGGAGGACCTTTGGACAGCACAGGAACCCAGTTGGTTTTAGCTTTTTCTCTCCTAATGCCCACGTATTGTTTTAATTCAGAAGCTAAAAGAAGAGGCCGAAAAGCTTCAGCAGGAGTTTGGCTACTGTATTCTAGATGGCCACAGAGAAAAGATAGGCAATTTCAAGATGGAGCCGCCTGGCTTGTTCCGTGGCCGAGGTGAGCATCCCAAGATGGGGGTGCTGAAGAGGAGAGTTAGGCCGGAGGATGTGATCATCAACTGTGGCAGGTATGCGGGGCTCAGCCAGCCAGGCTCTCATGGGTGAGGACTGGACCCTGGCCGGTGAGGTGACTTTTGTCTGTAGCTCTTTGGGGTGGGACCCTTCACTGGATGTGTGGCAGAAGATACCAGGTGCTGTTCCCATGTACCCTGAGTCTTGGCAGGGCTCTGGGTCAACAGGTGTAGCTGTGAACAGTATCTCTCAGCTCCAGCAGAGTCTCCTGTCTTGCTCAGTGGGGCTGAGGTTCTCCTACCGGGAGGTGTCCTGTGCATTTTCAGGGTTTGACTTTCTAAATACTTAACAGCGCGTTGGGCGTAGGGTATTGTGCTGAAGCAGTGCTGTTATTACCCACTGTTGGTCCAGTGACCCTAGGTGACAGCTGGTGTGCAGGATCCACCCGGTATGTGAGTTGGGGCTTTAGCGTTCTCTGCACAGAACTTTTTGTTCTGATCTGATCTTGTGTGTGTATGTGTGTTGTGTGTGTGTGTGTGTGTGTGTGTGTGTGCAAGTTGACAGTTGTTTTGGCCTGGGGAGCTTGGAACCAGCTCTGAAGCCTGCATAGGAGTGTGGCCACAGGACACACATAGGGAAGTTACCCTGAGTTGCTTGTATTTGAGGACCAAGGACTTGAAACTGTGACTACCCCTGTTTTACTGTAGGGATTCCAAGATCCCCGAGCCCCCAGCCGGTCACCAGTGGAAAGAAGTGCGTTCAGATAATACAGTCACGTGGCTGGCTGCGTGGATGGAGAATATCCAGAATACCTTCAAGTACGTCATGCTGAACCCCAGCTCCAAGCTGAAGGTGAGAGCATGAACACTCCGGGGAGCCCTGTGCCCCAAGCAGGCGTCAGGCCTTCCCTTCTGTGCTCTTCCAGACTGGCTGGCGCAGGAGGTTCCTCAGTCTTCCTGTAGAGGTTACCAGCCAGAAAGCAGCGGGGCCCAGTGGCTGCAGTCTAGCAGGAATCTGAGTGGGACTCAGTTTTCGGAGGCCAGGCTCTGCTGCTGCGCACCTCACTGGGTCACACCTGCCCGAGGTGGGAAGGTGTCCAGTCACCCGTTCACCACTTCATAGGTGACATCTATTGTCTTCTCGTAGGGGGAGATGGATTGGCACAAGTATGAGGTTGCACGGCGCTTGAGGAGAGTTGTCGACAAGATCCGTGCTCAGTATCGGGCTGACTGGGAATCCCCAGAAACGAAGAAAAGACAGCTGGCTGTGGCCCTTTATTTTATTGATAAGGTATGGCGTGGCGTGGGGACCTGGAGAGCTGGGCAGCAAGGACAATGGTGGCTTCTCCCTGGAACTGGAGCCTCCATCAAATGTGTGATTGTATGTGTATGTGTGTGCAAGTGTGGTTGTATGTGCATGTGTGTGTATGTGCGATTGTATGTGTATGCATGTGCATGTGTGATTGTATGTATGTATGTGCAAGTGTGACTGTATGTGCATGTGTGATTGTATGTGTATGTGTGTGCATGTGTGTGCATGTGTGATTGTATGTGTATGTGTGTGCATGTGTGATTGTATGTGTATGTGTGTGCAAGTGTGATTGTATGTGTATGTGTGTGCAAGTGTGATTGTATGTGTATGTGTGTGCAAGTGTGATTGTATGTGTATGTGTGTGCAAGTGTGATTGTATGTGTATGTGTGTGCAAGTGTGATTGTATGTGCATGTGTGTGCATGTGTGATTGTATGTGCATGTGTGTGCATGTGTGATTGTATGTGTATGTGTGTGCATGTGTGCTTGTATATGTATGTGTGTGCATGTGTGCTTGTATGTGTATGTGTGTGGGGGAGGGAGAGAGTTAGTTCAACTTCATGCCTGTGTATGTGTCGCTGTATGCACGAGTGCCGTGAGTGCTCCTACGCCACAGACCACAGCCTTGACCAGTGTCTACCCTGGCCTAGCTGGCGCTGCGAACAGGAAATGAGAAGGAAGAGGGTGAGACAGCTGACACCGTGGGCTGCTGCTCGCTCCGTGTGGAGCATGTCCGGCTGCATGAAAAGGCAGATGGCCAAGAACATATTGTGGAGCTGGTCTTCTTGGGAAAGGATTCCATCCGCTATAATAACCGTGTGACGGTGGAGAAGCTTGTGAGTGCCCTCCCTGACCCTGCTCAGAGCGTGGCAGAGCCACAGGGGATGTTCAGTGGCCTGCTGCACCTCGCAGTGTCTCCTGTGGCTGCGTGATGAAGCATCATCAGGGTGCGTGCACACCTGCACCCCCACGCACGTGCGCACCCGCACCCCCACGCACGTGCGTGCACACCTGCTCCCCCACGCACGTGCGTGCACACACACCCCTATGCACGTGCACACCTGCACCCCCACGCACGTGCGCACACACCCCCACGCACATGCACACCTGCACCCCACGCACATGCACACACACCCCTATGCACGTGCACACCTGCACCCCACGCATGTGCACACCCGCACCCCCACGCACGTGCGCACCTGCACCCCCACTCACGTGCACACGCACACACCCCACGCACGTGCACACACACAAGTGCACACACATACACCTATTGTGTTTTGGTCTAGGAGGCCCGATGTCCAGGGTGTGGGTGCCGGTTCCTTAGGAACATGGGAAGAATCTGCTTCTTGCCCCTCCCTGCTTCCCCTGGTGCCACGCATGCCCTGGCTTTGCATCCCCTGTGAGACCTCTTTTCCTGCCATCCTGGCCTCTGCCCCGTGAGACTTGCTGCAGCTGCTGGCTCTGCTCTGCCTCTGTTGACACAGCTGCTTTTTCCCCACCGTCTTCTCTCACGCAGTGTTATCTGTCGGGGTCAGGCCACTGTGTCCTGTCTGACCCCATCCTGACAGCCACGTCTCTGCAGAAGGTCACATTGTACGGTTCCAAGGATGATTTGGTGCCGCCTTGGCACCTGTGGCAGGATGGGCAAGCTAAAACGAAGGAGAGGCCAGTGCAGCCTGGGCAATCTCTTCTGGAAGTTGGCCTGGCCAGGAGGGTCTCCGTGCCGAAAGAGAGCAGAGTGGGGAGATTGCTTTCCTGGGGCTCTGTGGTGCTAGACGTGTCCTGGGTCACCTGGGTGGAAGTCAGCGTTGTTGGCAGAAGAGGGAGCTAGGAGTTAGCTGCCTGCTAAAGTCACTGCGTGGGTCTGTAGAGGCACCAAAGACCGGCCCCAGCTTTAACCACACACCGGCCATCAATGAGTTAGCAGTGAGTGACCGCTTACAGGCTTGGGTTGGGAGGCACAGACACAGGTTCCAGTGGGTAGACCTCACACTGTGCTGATACTATTGTCGTGGGCCTGGTCTGTATTAGCCCCATGCTGCGGGGGGCCATCCATTCTGAACAGATGTCTTTGGGGCTGCGATCAGAACCAGCCGAACAGCCGCGGGTCCCACCCTGAGTGGAGGAGTGTGGACACGCAGGACAGACTAACTACCCAACAGCGCTAAGGACAAGCCAGAGACATCTGGTCATCAGGAGGGCTCCCAGTAAACACTGAAGGCCCAGGTTTATTGTTCCATCATTTTAAGTAACCATTCAAAGGTGGGAGTAATGGCAGAAGACATCCATTATCATGTAGAAAAGGCTGATAGCAAATATTTCCTTTAGTCCTGGAGATACTTCTTTACAGCACATACTCAAGGCCTCAGGCCTCCACACAAGCACATCTCACTAACTCTCTGGGTGGGAGTAGACTCACCCTGGCTCAAGTCTTTTGTTATACAAAATAGGGGTCATTCCCCACTGAGGCCAGGCATCCAGCAGTAATCAGCTGACATCTAAAAGACAATAGAAGTTCTGAGCTCTTAGAACTCGCGGCTGGGTAGAACATATTACCATAATATTCCAGGGGGCCCCAGCATGCCATCTCTTTCCAGGACTTGGTATGTGCACCCCTCTGCTTTCCTCAGCGGTGCGTGTGAATGGTGTGATCCTCCCCGTGCCCAAGACCTCCCTCCTGCTCAGCTGGCTTCTCCAGAAGTCTCAGTGTGGCTGTGAGTTAAGTTCTTCTCTGTTTCAGGTGTTCCAGAACCTTCAGCACTTCATGGAGGACAAAGACCCTGGGGACAACCTCTTTGATGCACTGAGTGTAAGCCTGTGGATGGGCACAAGGGGGTCTTTGTCCCCAGTGTGTTCTCTGTTCTGTCCCCTCCTGGAGGCTGAGAATAGCCCATGAAACTCACGTCTCTGAGGAAACTGCCCATGACTCCTCTCTCCTCTCTGCACCCAGACGGCCAGTCTGAACAAGCACTTGCAGGACTCGATGGAGGGGCTGACAGCCAAGGTGTTCCGGACCTACAATGCCTCCGTCACTCTGCAGGAGCAGCTGCGGGCGCTGACCAGGGGTGAGTGGCTTCTTACACCTGACCCTGCGGGCTACCCAGACTGTCCCCTGTGGGAGCTGCCTGGGGGCTGCACCTTGGCTTGCCCTAGGTGTCAGCTGCTGTCGGCCTGGGCACAGCTGTCTGCTGGTGAACGCTGAGGTCAGGCCCTGACCCAGGGTGGCCTCACTGGCCCTTGCGAGGAGGTGTCACACTTCCTGCCCCACCTGTCTAGCTGCATGAGCTCAGACAACACTACCTCACCTTTCTTCGGGCCTCAGGGCTTCCAGGATACCCTGTTCCAGAAGGAAATGGTGGAGCCTGGGATGGCTTTGGGACTTCTGCCTCTGCCCCAATAGGATATAGTCCAACCCCCACAAGAAGGTGAGGACCCTCAGTGCCTCCATTGCTATGACTAAACCTACTTAGCCCTGACTTGTGGGGACATCTTAGGTAATTTCTTCTTTGGAACTTTGTGTCATAGAAGGAACCCACATTTATAACATGTCCAGAAAGAGCCTTTTTAGGGCCAAGGGTGTGTGTAGCTCAGTGTGGAATACTTGCCTGGCATGTCAAGGCCCTAGCCTCCATCACCAGCACCACTGAAGAACAGGAGGGAGAGAGGGAGGGAGGGAGGCTCAGAGCAGGTTGCAACAGAGTGACGGTTGTCATCATCCTTGTTCAGCTGAAGACAGCCTGACCTCCAAAATCTCAGCTTACAACCGGGCGAACCGGGCTGTGGCCATCCTCTGTAACCATCGGAGAGCAATCCCCAAGACCTTCGAGAAGTCAATGCAGAAACTCCAGGAAAAGGTGGGAAGGCACCTGTCGTGTGGCCGTCCCCGCGTCACTGCTTCTCTCCTCTCCTGGGGCCAGGCAGCCGTGAGGGGCAGGAGTGTGTAGTGGGTATAGCTGCTCCAGGGGCTGGGATCAGGGACTTGGAACTGCTCCGGGTCATGACCTGGGCAACCGTGGGAGGGACCAGCTAGGCTGCCTCTCATCTCCCTGTGTTCTAGTTTAAGAAAGAGGTCAGAGTGGCGGGTGGGCATGCTGGGTGAATTTGTGGCTAGTCAGGTGGCACTATTGGGCCCTAGAAGCCTCTTGACCTCACTCCTGGCCACAGAATGCGGTAGGCCAGCCCTGTGTGGCTTCACGGGACCTTCTCCCAGGCTCTTCTGTCATCTGAGTGGTTCCAGAATGCAAGCTGGCATCTGGAGAGGTTTGGCCACTCCAGTGGTTTGTGAGGCTCTGGACTCTACCTGCTGTAACCTCCCAAGGAGTGCAGGGCCAACAGCTGTGGACAGAAATCAGAGGACAGGTCTGTGTGGGGTTGGTTTCTTCACAGATTGAGATAAAGGAGGCGCAGGTGACCGAGGCGCAGGCGGAGCTGGAGAGGGCGAAGGCTGACCTTAGGACGCATGGGGAGAGCAAGTCCAAAAGGTACGCTGGGGCTGCCACCTAGAAAGCCGTGATCCTGGGGCCCAGCCCCAGCCAGTCTGGGTGTGTAACAACCCTGGCTGTCCTGGAACTCGCTCTGTAGACCAGGCTGGCCTTAAACTCACAGAGATCCACCTGCCTCTGCCTCACAAGTGCTGAGATTAAAGGTGTGCACCACCACTGCCCGGCAAATTTTGTGATCTTTTTGAAAGCTCTATTATTACTCATAGACAGAAGTGATATAATTACAAAGCAGCCCTAGCCTCTGATGGTGGGCTGCAGGCCAGCTGTGGCTCCTTGGTTTTTATGTTGAGCAGTGGGTTGAGCTAATTTTCTTAGCACACATTTCACCCTTTCAAAGTGCACTGTGCTGCTGGGCAGAGGCAGAGACAGGCAGATCTGAGTTCAAGTCCAGTCTGGTCTACCTAGTAGGTTCCAGGCCAGTCAAGGCTACACAGAAAGACCCTATCTCAAAAAGGACCAAAGCGAAACAAATAAAAAGCGAGAGAAAGCACACCATTCTGAGAGGTGTATGGCCAGTTTCTGAAAGAGAGCCTGTGTCCAGCAGCAACTCCCACCCTCGGCCAAGCAGCCCAGCAGGCTTCTCTAGGGTCCTGGGTGTGGCTGCCTTGCCGGTGAGCCCACTGCGGCTTGTTTCTCTGGTGTCGTTCTGGCAGTGTTGTGACTAATACTTTGTCTGGCTCTGTAATGCAGGCGGAGTCCCAAGTTTTCTCGTGAGCTTGGTTTATTGCCCTAGCTGTCACAGCAGTCCGAGGCTCGCCTTGAATTCACTTTTGTCTGGGGTCTGAGCGTCCAGCCTTTGTGTGCTGAGGAAATGTCCGCTGCCCTTACACCCCGCACCTGAGTTGGAAATGGGTTGATTGCAGGTGTGGGTTCCATTTCTGGACTGGTTTGTTCTGTTTCTCTTGTCCTGTGTCAGCCCCGGCCCATCCCGCTGGCAGAGTGTGGAGATCAGGAAGAATGAGAGCTCTGGCTGTTTTCTTTGTGTGTGTGTGTTTGAAGCGGTCTCATTGTGTACCCCAGACTCCTCTGGAGGTCTCAGCCCTGCTTTAGCCTCTGGAGGGCTGGGACCGTCAGTAGGCACCACTGCCTGACTCCTAACTTTGTTGTTCTCCTTAGAGATACTTTTGGCTACATAGGGCCACTTGAAGTTTCCCCCTACGAATGTTGGGGTGGTCTTGGGTTTGCCGATTTATTTGAGAGAACCAGACCATGCACTACCAAGTCTGAACACAATCTATAAACACCTGTAATCTGTAATTGCAGCGCTTGGGAGACAGAGGATCAGGATGGTCAGAAGTCAGGATTGGCTACATAGCAACTTGAGGGCCATCCTGGGCTACGTGGGAGTCTCTATATATAAAGTCAGTGTAATCTTAACTAAGTCTTCCTTAATCTCTTCAGCAAACATTTATAGTTTTCCGAGGAGAAGCTAAACGTTGTGATTTTACGCAGCTGTAAATGGAATTTTCAGCTCATGTCTGGATTGTTCACGGCTAGTTTTGTTAGGGGTTCCCCAGGCCACCTCATGTCCGGTGATAACAGGTCACAGGCTCAGTGCACACTGTGCCTGCGGCTGAGCGACAGTGGAGCACGCAGACTACCCGGGCTGAGCCCAGGCTTCCGTGCATACCTCTCTCCTTGGCTGCATTGTCACTTTGCAGTTTCAGAACCTCGTCACCGCCCCCTCCACACCGCATTTCACGGCTACTGCCCGCCCCCTCCCCCACACCGACACTCCCTCCACACTCACATTCAGTAAGAATGGCCCTGCAGACACTTTCCCATCCAGAGGCCACATCTGGACAAAAGCATTTTCACAGATGTGACTGGAAGGCAGTCTGTGTCCTGGGTGAAGCCAAGTGTACTCCCAAATTTCCCAGGTGTGAGGGAGCTCGTGTGTCCGACCCAGGAGTATCCCTGATCACCTCTGCAGTGACCTGTCCCATTTGGAGCAAGCTGTGTCTGGCAGCCACACTGCCTCCCCAGGGGAAGGCAGAATGCAATCAGGCCTTTTGTCAAAGGCTGCAAACCACTCAGGCAGGGCGCTGACATCAGCAGAGTCCTGAAGGGCTGGGTCCCATCTGGTGTGCCTTGTGCTGTGGTAGCAGTTATAGGGTCCACGAGCTCACAGGCTGCCACCCCTGACATCTCAAGATGGTCACTGCTAGGCTCGCATCCAGCAGGCAGCCTAGGTTCCCAGCTTAGGACCCCAGAGGAGAGCCCAGAGTTGGCAGGGCAGTGTCAGGGTTAGGTTAGGACCAGTACAACAGGAAGACCTGTGAACGCATGACTCCAGAGAGGTGGCTGGGAGCTGAGTCCAGTCCTGAGCCTTTGACCTCAACATGTAGAGTCAGAAGGGACCTGCTCAGAAAAGGTGGAGCCCCCAGTCTTTGAGCTCACTAGCAACTCAACTCTCCTACTTCAGGGTCGTCCCTCCCATTTCCCCCTCCCCTGCCCCGGCACCCCTGCCTGCCTGTCTGTCTCCTCCGGAGCTTCCAGGAGGTGAAACCATGGTCAGGCCCCTTGGGAGACCTTTCGGACCTTAACTCAGGGGTTTGGTGCTAGCCTTCCCACGGGCTGCAGGAGCAGCCGTGGCCTCTCCCACACACCCCCCTTTTTGTGGCGGCTGAGCCGTCTGTACTCATAGGCTGTGAAGATGATGAGTGTTAAGCAGTGTAAGAGTCTCTATGCACTTGGGAGCAGAAGCCGTTTACCCTTCCTTGTGTTTGTTTGGGGGAGGTTGAGACAACATCTCACTGCATAGCTCTGGCTGGCCTGGAACTCAGCTCTGTAGACCAGGCTGGCCTTAAACTCACAGAGATCCATCTGCCTCTGCCTCCCGAGTGCTGGGATTAACGGCGTGCGCCACCACACCCAGTCCTCCACAGCAGATCTAGACATCTTACCCTGCCATTGTTTTTTAAAACTAATTATGTGTTTTTTTTATGTGTATGGATGTTTTTGCCATCAGAAGGGGGCATCAGGTCCTCTGGGACTGCAGTTACAGGTGGCTGAGAGCTGTTGCCTCGTGGGCTCTCTCTGGAAGAGCAGCCAGCGCTCTCCTCTCTCCAGTCTCCTTACTGTGGTTTTAATGCTGAGTCCAGGCTCCAGACGCAGAGGACCGGCGCCCGCTCTGCTCCGTCCCCTCTCTTGCTACAGCACTTCCGTGTTTCAGGGACTCTGGAGTCTAGTGCATCTCACCTTCGATGTCCACGGTGGTCATGTCCTCAGGGCCACATCTGATGAGTGCAGCCTGTGCCTGGAGCTGAACACGCAGCAAAGGACACAGGACCAGCCAAGAGAAAAAATTTTCAAGGGGAAGAAATTGTTGGGGGCCCAGGTCCCTTGCTTATTTGTCCCTTTTGTTACTGGCCCCACACATGGGGAGGGGCTGTGTGTGAGACCCCATTCATCGCGACGCTTCTGAGACTTGCTCTAGTCCTCTGCCGGGAACCAAGACCTTCAGAAGGAAAGCCAGGCTCAGTGTGAACCACGGCCACGCTGCTGAGCCTAGGGAGCCTGCTGCTAGCAGGCTAGCAGGAACCTTCCTGAGAGCCCAGCCTCTCAGTGGGCTATCCTGTGAGTGGCTAGCCAAGCCCAGTCAGTGGTGGCGACTTGTTACAGAAATGCACTGCTGGTGGTCCATTTGCTTCCTTCCCTGCTCCTGTAAACCGTTGCTAACTATGATTGTGTACAGATGGATATCCACCATCCATGGATAGTCACTCGATTATTCCTTTCTGGCACGGAGGCCTGGGTTTCCTTTTCTTGACCCTCCAGAACGTGGTTAGCAGTCAGTGGAGAGTCCCCTTGTCTGGTGCTTTACCTGAGAGGCAAAGCTTTCACTCATCAGCACCTAGCGTATGCTGTGGGGTTTCGTAGGTGCGTCTCTGGAATTTGCAGGGTTGTGTGTATGCACATGTGATGGGCGCGGGGTTTGTCAGATGGTCTCATGCGGTACATCGGTGTAAAGCCCTCCCTGGGTCCCCATGGCTGGGCGCTGTGTGTTTTCTCTCCTGTGGGACCTGCTTCTGCTTTGTCGGAGCTTTTTTTCCGCACCCAGAGGGATGCCTTTGTCTGGCTTGATCAGAGTTAACTCTGGCTTCGGGAAATGAGTTGGGGCTTGTCTCCCTCTTCTGTTTGAGACCTGGTGGTTACTTGGTAGAATGCTCTGGCTGTGGCCTTGAAGGGCCTTTGCTTTGGGAGACACTTTTAGTGGCCCTCTGGTCTCTGCCTGGCATATATCTGTCCAGGTTTCTTCTTGAATCAGTGGATCCTGCCGTTCTGGGCTTATAGCCGGTGATGGGACTTTGTGTGTCCAGCTATGCATGGCATCCCCAGGACTTTGTGTGTCCAGCTATGCATGGCATCCCCACTGTCCTTTGTGTTTCTGTACCGTCCTTGAGCATCCCTCGTCACGTGACCGTGGTTCTTCAGGGCTGAAGCTTTTTCTTTCTTCCTTGTGACAGGCTTCCCGAGGTGCAGAGCTGTGTCTTTTTACAGTGGCACACAGCAGATGTCAGTTAGACCAGAGGGCATTCAGTGAGGCGTGCAGCTGTCACAGAACAGCTGCTGTGACATGTCCCATGTGTCACCAGAAGTGCTCTGCAGGGCCCGAGGCTTCCTGTTTCCTTCCCTGCATACGGTGGCCCACAGGTCACACTTGACCTCCTGGCCTTTCTGCTTGTGCTCTTGACGGTGACTTTGTCACTGCCGGAGTGTGACTGTCACTGAGCAGGCTCCTATGGCAAGGCGCCTGCCAGTGCAGAGTGTTCCAGCTCTCTGCAGCACACGTGGCCATCCTCCCACGTTGGTATCTGGAACACTCGTTCCTAGGGTTGGGCTCAGGGTACCACATAGTGTCACGATTGTTAGCAGGCTGCCGTGGGCACGTAAGGAGCAGGGGAAAAGCAGCACCTCTTTTTAAATGTTATTTATTTATTCATTCGTTTATTTATTTATTTTCAGGACAGGGTTTCTCTGAGTAGCCTTGACTCTTCTGGATCTTGCTGTGTAGACCAGGCTGGCTTTGAACTCACAGAGACACGCCTGCCTCTGCCACCTGAATGCTAGGATTACAGGCGTGCGCCACCATTTCCCAGTTAAAATTATTTTTTAATGAATCATTTTATGAAAGTTTTATCTGCTTGTGTGTCTTTGCACCATGTGTGTGCCTGGTGTCCATGGAGATCAGAGATGGCATCAGATCCTCTGGGAATGGAGTTATAGATGGTTTTAAATTATTGTGGGAATCCTGGGAATTGAACCCAGGTTCTCTGGAAGAGCAGCCAGTGCTCTTAACTGCTGTGCCAACTCTCTAGCCCCATTGAAAAGGCAGGAATAGGTCTGGAGAGATGGCTCAGAGGTTAAGAGCACTGCCTGTTCTTCCAAAGGTCCTGAGTTCAATTCCCAGCAACCACATGGTGGCTCACAACCATCTGTACTGAGATCTGGTGCCCTCTGCTGGCCTGCAGGCATACATGCAGGCACAACACTGTATACATAATAAGTAAGTAGGTCTTAAAAAAAAAAAAGGCAAGGCAAGGCTAAGGACTGGAAACTTCCCTGGTCACGGGGGCGTCTGTCGTGTTGCCTGTTAGCGTTGCCTGCTTGGGTGTCAGCATCACACAGCTTCCTCAGTGAGGACTTGCCTTGGCCTTTGACCCCCTCTGAACCTCTCACTTTGTGCCTAGAGAAGGCTAAACGTGGCCATTTGCAGGAGGGACATCAAGCCGGGGCATGGGAGGCGGTGACATGTGGTCTGCTCTCAGCAACACAGCCATCTCCTTTTCCAACAGTCTGCTGCAGAAGCAGCAGCGGCTGCTGAAGCTGGAGGGACAGCTGGCCCGACTGCGCGCGAAGGCCACAGACAAGGAGGAGAACAAGCAGGTGGCCCTGGGCACCGCTAAGCTCAATTATCTGGACCCCAGGATCAGCATTGCCTGGTGTGTAGGCCTGAGGCTGTTGTGCCTGGGTGTGCCCTGGTGTTATGATAACTCGAGTGTGGCGGATTCCAGGGCAGGCGAGGGTGGCCGAGGCGGAGGGACAAACACATGAGGCAGACAGAGCTTAATTAAGAGGTTTTATTAGAAGGGGAGGGAAGGGGGAGGAAAGAGAAAAGAGACAGAGAGAGAACAGAAGATGGAGACAGGAAAAGTCCTGTCTGCCCCAGGGGAACTGCAGGGAAGACAGGGGAGGAAAGAGAGCAGGAAAGAGCTGGAAAAGAGAGCATGAAGGGTGGGGGTTTGTCTTTTAAAGGGCCCTTTGCACCTGCGTGCAGACTACTCAATTGTGGATCCCTGGGCTGACCAGGATGCTGCCTGAGTGCATTCTGCCAAGTGACAGGGACAGGCCAGCATAGTGCCTGAGTCCTTACAGTGGGATTCTAGGAGGTCTCAGTGCAGTCCCATAGGTGCCCCATCCCGTACCTGGCTCTGTGCTAGGCACAACTTCCCGTGACAGGGACCACCTGACTCGATGTCCCTGATACTGAGTCGGCCCTCTTGTCTGTAGGCCTCTTCCTTCTGAGCTTTGGGGTGACTGGCACTGTCAGTTCTCCGGGGACACTAAATTATGTGGGTGCTTGTCCTTCCCACTGGGAATGGGGGCGGAGTGGGCCTGGCCCAGTGGCCGCCTGGACCATACAGGGGTGTCTTGATACCTGGGGAGGGGATGCAATTGGTCGTGGTGCCCAGGACAGCAGGTCTGGGTGGCACAAGGTGTCTTGGTCACCCTGATGGACAGAGGCCACCACCCTCTTCCCCCACCTTGGCCTCCAGAGCAAGACTCAACTGATGTTGTTGCCTGCAGGTGTAAGAGGTTTGGAGTACCGATAGAGAAGATCTACAGCAAGACCCAGAGAGAGAGGTTCGCCTGGGCCTTCGACCGGGCAGGCGAAGACTTTGAATTCTAAACAGCCCTTTGCCACTTTCTCACTGTGAAACAATACTGTAGTTTTCTATAATAAAATGCTTGAGAAATGGTGTCTGTAGTTGTGACCTAAAACAAAGGCCCGACAGCCTGTCCTGCAAGCACCCTCAGCGTGTGTTGACAACCCCACCGGGTGCTTGTAGCCCCTAGGCTGAAGCTCCTGCTTGGGAAGGGAGCCGAAGAGAGAGGGTGCCTGAAGGGTAGGGCCCCCGGGAGCCATTGCCACACACCCTAGCGCTCCACAAGGTTTCACTTGTACCTTTTCTCAGATCCTACCTTAGCCAGCCTTGGGATGGAATCCAGGACTTGAACATGGCAAGCACACAGTTTACCACCGAAATGTACCCCTACCCATCTGTAGATTTCAGTTCATGTCTTTCTGCCTCAGTTTCCCAACCTTGTATTCTTCCATTCTTGTTCTTCTTGAGTTTCTATGCCTTCTGGGGCCGTTGTCTCCTTAACACCATTCCCTGGGTGCCCCAGCAGCTGTCTGCCCTTTGACCCAGTGCCCTCCCTGGAGTTCCGTGCCCTACTCCATGAATTCAGGTGAAGTTTTAGCTTCCCGTGTGGGGCAGAATTCCTGCTGGCCAGCACCGGAGTATTAGCTAGCCCTAACCCCTCTGGGCTCCATCTGTCCTCGTTCTGGAGAGCCAGCTCCTAACCTCATCCATCTTTTGTTTAGAAGATACCCTTTGTTTCTTTTGTCTCCTAAGAATACAAAGACCTACGCAAAACTTGGTCCGGGGAAACTGGAAAACTTGTACCTGATGAATCCAGACTTTGCACTTGGCATTGTATTTTTGGAAGCCTCATTCAGAGTGTTCTGACCACGTGGTAATCAACTGGCTAAAGTGTAAATACTGAGAAAAAAATGCCCTGGGTAAAGGGAAAGGCTTCAGTTCGTAGAGGCTGGAGATCCCAGCAGCCTCCAAAGGCCAAGTCATTCTTAAGATGTCTCTGAGCCTTCTTTTGAAGGACTGGCTTGAACCCACACCTGCAGGGCTACATTCCCCTCCTTTGCCCCCAGGGGATTCCACACCAGAGGGGGTGGTTGTTAGTGACCCTCCAGGCCTAGGATGCTCTCACCGGCTGGTACGTTCCGGTAGCAGTCACAGAGCATGCTCTGGCTCTTCCATGGCTGCTCTGGGCCCGGCTCCCACACCTCCCCCTGCCCAACTCCCAGGCTGCCCATTGCTTGCCAGAAGCAGTGCAGCCCTGGCCTGCACACCCTTGCTCAATTGCTCTGTCCCTCAGTGGCTGCAGTCTTCTGTGGTCAGAGGCTGTGCCTGCTGTCAAGGGGCATTTATACCAATAAGCCCACCGTGGCACCTAGGTGTTACCCAGGGTCCCTCTGCTTAGCCAGAAGGCTTCAACGCTGGGTATCGGTGGCCAGGGCCAGTCCAGTCAACGAGATAAAGGAAAGTTATATGTGGAAATTATACATGGGAGTCGGGAGTCGGTGGGCTCACGCTCAGCGGGTGGTATGAGTGAAGAGGCATTTGGTCAGCCTCCATCCTGTAGACCTCAGGCTCCTGTTCCTTGAGGACAAATTGCATTTGCTTCCCTTACATCACTCCCTCAGACCCCACAACCTAAGCCCCCATACCTCAGACCTTAACCCTTACATCACTCTCTTAGACCCCCAGTTTATTTAAACTTTCCTTTTTTGGTTTTTCGAGACAGGGTTTCTCTGTGTAGACCAGGTTGGCCTCGAACTCACAGAGATCACTATATAAAACATTTTAAATGCTATATTTAGCAGATCTCTGAGGAGCTTGAGGCCATCATCTAGTCTATTTGGTATACCTGATTTTTTTTCTTTTAGTTACTTACTTTAGGCTTAACCTTGAAAACATACAGAAGGTTGAAAAATTGTCTCTAAATGAATTATATTTGCAGTTAGCATGACTACAAATAGAGTTTTGAGCACAATGAAATATTTGATCATTTATAAGGTGACTGACCAGTAAATTTTATGTCTTAAGTCAACAGTTTACAAGTTAGCAGTTTTTACAAGATTAGGATTTTATAGTTTTATCCTTGTTAAATTATAGCCTTAAAATTTTGAATTGAAGATTTAATTGAAAATCCTTTAGAATCAAGATAAAACTTTAAACCATAAATACAGCTCACAGAGAGACGGGGGGGGGGGGTCTTGCTTTTCCTTTTTTATCTTTTTATATCACAGTTTTTTGTATGACTCAGTTTATCCAAACAGCTAAAGCTTAACAAAGACAAGGAGGCTCGACATAGATTAACCTGAGTTAGACCTTTTATAAGCTCAGGAATGTGAAAATCTTAATCACTGAGTAATTTTTTTGCTTAGAGTCTTACATGCTCCATCCACCCCTGAAAAGGTCTCTACAGGCCCTGAGAGAAAGAACGCTTGTATTTTATCAAGAGCTCTGGCTATCTGTGACCTTGAATAGAGGAACTTTTAAAAAAAATTTTGGTAACTCGAACCAAGAAAAGGGGAAGAAGGAAGAAGTTGGAGCTAGATGTCTGTAATTACATTTAATCATCCTAATTTTTTATAAACAATTTAACTAAAAAGTTTAAATGAGACCTAACAGTAACAAATAAATATATCAATTATTGTAAGAAATGTTTGCTAGGGCTGGAGAGATGGCTCAGAGGTTAAGAGCACTGACTGTTCTTCCAGAGGTCCTGAGTTCAATTCCCAGCAACCACATGGTGGCTCACAACCACCTTGAAAGAGATCTGGTGCCCTCTGCTGGCATGCAGGCAGAAGACTGTATACACAATAAATAAAATATTAAAAAAAAAGAAATGTTTCCTAAGGGCGTGTTAGACAATATGTGGAATATTACCCAATATATTTAACAGTTTCCATTGCTTCATAGGAGAGCACGGCATCGTCGAGGGTCAGTGTCCCTTGTCTGCAACAACACTCACAGCGCAGCAGAAAACACAGATCCTCCAAGCAACATCAAAAGCCATGGCTTCCAAGCGGTCAGCGGAGACCAGACAGACAGACAGTGGTGGCCATCTTCAATCATGCAGCAGGACCAGGGGGACATTCTGTCCCTGGAGACCAGACAGACAGACAGACAGTGGTGGCCATCTTCAATCATGCAGCAGGACCAGGGGGACATTCTGTCCCTGGAGACCAGACAGACAGACAGACAGTGGTGGCCATCTTCAATCATGCAGCAGGACCAGGGGGACATTCTGTCCCTGGAGACCAGACAGACAGACAGACAGTGGTGGCCATCTTCAATCATGCAGCAGGACCAGGGGGACATTCTGTCCCTGGAGACCAGACGGACAGACAGACAGTGGTGGCCATCTTCAATCATGCAGCAGGACCAGGGGGACATTCTGTCCCTGGAGACCAGACGGACAGACAGACAGTGGTGGCCATCTTCAATCATGCAGCAGGACCAGGGGGACATTCTGTCCCTGGAGACCAGACAGACAGACAGACAGTGGTGGCCATCTTCAATCATGCAGCAGGACCAGGGGGACATTCTGTCCCTGGAGACCAGACAGACAGACAGACAGTGGTGGCCATCTTCAATCATGCAGCAGGACCAGGGGGACATTCTGTCCCTGGAGACCAGACGGACAGACAGACAGTGGTGGCCATCTTCAATCATGCAGCAGGACCAGGGGGACATTCTGTCCCTGGGGACTGGGTCTATGATCGTGTCTCATCTCCCTATGTCTCTCCAGATGTTGGAACTTCCAGAACAGAACAACTCACTAATTGGTCTGGGTTTCAAATGTATGTTGGCTGGGAATTTTTTACTTTTTTTGCTTACAAACTTTCAGTGGCCACAGTCTGGGGTTTCCCTAGGCCTCCAAGTCCACAATGCTCTTACCCGTCTAGGGTCTGTCCCATCTAGTGACTCTAGTTTGTGGCAGCCTTGGACTACCTGGAATCCCCAGCCCTGAGTCTGGGGTCTTCCAGGGATCCGGGATGAGTCACCAAATGTTATGGAGTTCAAGACCCCCTCAGGAAAAGACCACAGGCTGAGTCCAGATTATAATGAGTTAAATTTATTGAACCTGCTAGCAGGACAGCAATCCCTGAGCCAAACTAGAGACTGCCAAGCCAAGCGATTTTTAAAGAGAAAATCCATAGGAAGACCTTGAGTGTCTGCACACACAAGCCTGGTGCTGTTCTGCTCTGCCAAGATTAGGTAGCCAGGGAGAACTCAAAGTAGTCCTTGAATGTGTGCATAAGCAGATTACAGGAGCCAACAGTCACAGCGTAACAAGGAGATGGTCATGGCTGTGCATTTCCGGGTGGGGGTCACTGAATTATTGGGAACTTACCCTCTAGGGCCTGGAGGCAGAGACAAATGGCTAGTGGGTGCCAAGATGGATGCTTAGCACAAACAGTTTCTTTAGCCATCATGCTTGGACACAGGCCATGCCCTGCCATGTACTGTGAACCGTCCCCACGTCACCCACGGCACACTTTATTGGGGTGTGCACTCCTCGCGGTAGTGCTGGATGAGCTTGAGAGCTCTGGCCGAAGGCCTTGCTGTAATCTTCGCACTTGTAGGGCTTCTCGCCGGTGTGAAAGCGCTGGTGTTCCATGAGCACCGAGCTCCAGATGAAGGCCTTGCTGCACTGGCTGCAGAGTGCGGCCTCTCCTGGTGTGCATCCGCTGGTGGCGCACCAGGCTGGAGCTCTGGCTAAAGGCCCGGCCGCACTGGCTTCTCGCCCGCGCCCCCCCTCCCCCGCCAGTGTGGATGCAGTGATGCTGCACTGAGCCCTGCCAGCTGCCGAAGCGCTTGCGCACTCCCGACAGGCGTAAGGCTTCTCCCCCGTGTGGATGCGCTGGCGCTTCAGCAGCAGAGAGTTGTACTTGAAGCCCTTACCACAGGCCTCGCAGCGGTGTGGCTTGGTGCTCCGTGGGCGGGCTTGCCGGAAGCTGCGACCCAAACTACTGCCCGGCTCAGCAGCCTTCTTGGCGCTGTCCTCAGTGCCTAGGGCTCCCTGAGGCAAGAGTACCATGTGCCAAGTGTCCCTTTCCTGAGAGCAGGGCACGGTCCCTGGAGACAGGCCTGCTGGATGCTCCAAGGTGCATTCTTGGCCAAAGCTGTCCCCACACTTAGAGATGCTGGGAAGACTCTTCAAGAGGCCCCTCGGTGCCCTTCCGTCTGAGCCCACCTCCAGCTCTGTGGGAATTGAGAGAGGCTGGAGTCTTCTTAAGCTCCCACTCGGAGTCTGAAAGGAGAAACGGTGGATGGCTCCCAGCCTCATCCTACTGTGGGTTCCAGGAGCCGAGGCCAGGGAAAGGCTGGGTGGGGCTACTCACAGGAGGAAGGAGAGGCTGGGAAGGGGACAGAGCACCTGCCAGGTGGGGGATGGGAGCGCCCCCGAAGTCTCAGGAGCAGCTGCCCCCTCCCCCACCAGATGGAGGCCCTGGGCCTGGGCAGGGGCCTTATGGGTGGTTAACTAGACCTGTGATGCCTCCCTCAGCTGGGGGAAGGAAGTACAGGTTGCTATTAAGGCTGGCAAGGACCTGGAATTTAGAGAGCTCTAAAAAGTGGCCCTTTAGGTAGAGATGGCTGGGAAGACACTCATTGTACCCCACAAAAGTCAGGTGACAAGGGTGCCTGAGGCCTGCTCTGCTGCAGGGATGGGATCTGGACGGCCCTAGAAGTCACTGTCACAGTCACAGCCCTGCCCACCTAGCCTCCGTGGGTAGACAGAAGTGACAGCTAGGCCCAAGAAGAGTCCCAGGCGGGGTGGCCCTCGGCACGGCATCCGGGTGGGAGCTCCCAAGGCTGCCTAGGGTGGGGCAGGGGCTGCTCACTCACCAGGCCAGGTGTCTCTGCTGACCTCCACTTCCTCTGTGTCTTGGAGGTCCAGGTCTGATGCCCTGGAAGGCATCTCGGGACTGGAACGGGGGAGCCTGGAGGCAGGGGACCAAGGCTCATTCATGCCCTGTCCTCCAGAGGGCAGTGTTCCTGAACTTTCTCTCTTTCCTGGACTTAGAGTAGGACTCCAAGGCTCTGGGGCCAAGACCCCCACGCATAGTATACCCCTCCCCTCCCCAGCATCGCCTTATGCCCCAAAGAGAAGATCAGGCCAGTGTGGTGCCAGTGCCCTGCTCCCACATTGAGGGAGCCCTGCTGAGTGAGGGCCTGGCGTTGTGAACCCGGATTTCCCTGAGGTCTGCAGGCAGGGACAAGCTGCCAGACAGCTCCTGGGCTCGCCCCATGCTGGCGGAAGTCCTGGCTTCCTTCGCACTGCACTCAGCCCCACAGCTGCCCCCAGGTCCCATCTCTCAGTTTCAGCATCCTAAGCCAGCATGGCTCCTGACGTGCGCCTGAAAGATCAGAGACGTCCCAGGACTGCTTTATCCCCTACAGCCTAGGCAGGACTCCTGCTCGGAGGTTAGCCAGGGTGGGCCGGGCTGTGGCTAGGAGCCTTTCCCATAGGACCCGGACACAGGGGCCCTTGCCGACTCTTCGCTTACGCTTTTCCTGGTCCCTCACCTCACCTGCTCCTGAAGGACAGGGGCCCTGAAATGACTGCAAACGTGACTCCACACTTTGTGCTTCTGAAGGACAGGGGCCCTGAAATGACTGTGCAAACGTGACTCACACTGCTCCTGAAGGACAGGGGCCCTGAAATGACTGTGCAAACGTGACTCCACACTTTGTGCTCCTGAAGGACAGGGGCCCTGAAATGACTGCAAACGTGACTCCACACTTTGTGCTCCTGAAGGACAGGGGCCCTGAAATGACTGCAAACGTGACTCTGCAGGTTGCTGGGACCTGGATGGACCTCTTTGGGAGCCCAAGGTTCCCAGAAGTCCTGGCAGGAGAACTGCAGATAGGCTTCAGAACACTGGGGTCTTCTGTGGTAAGGAATCCGGAAGGAGCCTGGAGTGGTGTGACACATGGTAATTCTGGAGACCAGGAGGCTGAGGCAGGGAGACCTCAAGTTTAAGGCTGGCCTGGGCAACACTATGAGACCCCCCCCTACTTCAACAAAAATGGAATCCTGGGAGGCCTCAAGCACATGTGAAGCAGCAGCAGAACTGAGCTTCGGCTCTGAGGCAGCCCTGCCCTTGCTGGTAGCTAGGAAGCAGGCATAGATGCCACCTATTTCCTGTATATCTGTGAAAGGGGCGATGGCCACTCCCTCATCTGCCTCCAGACGCTCAGGGCCTTCCCAAGCTCCGCCAACAACCATACCTTAGCTCCAAGCCCACTTTTGTCTCTCTGTGTCCCGCTGTTCACAGGCCCACCAGGGACAGCACAGTGATGTAAGGCCCTGTCCAAGACTTGTTCTAGGGACAAGCAGAAGGGTCCTGGAGCCGGGCAGCAAGCAGGACAGGGCTTGGGGCTCCCATCTGGTTCTGGGTTGACCACTGTGGTTCCCTAGGAGTGAGATCTCTGTCCTTACCTGTGACTGTTCATCTATAAGCTGTGGCCGGGCTTTGGCATCTCCTAAGGGAGCCTGGTACAGAGCGCAGCTGCCGTCCATAACCCTCAGCTCTGTGCATCAGCCGCAGCTCTAGACCCGCAGGGAGAGCTGGTCCCCATGTGGGATCTTGTCCTCACTGGCACTACCTCATGAGAGGCTTCCTGTGGGCCTCAGGGATGAACCCGCTGGACTACATGACTGCCGAGACCTGAAGTGTGCTCAGCATCTACACTGAGAAAGAAACATATCCAGGGAGTTAAAGCATGGCCTCAACCACTGCTGCCCTCCCTCACTCCCTCAGGGCTTTTTCCAGAGGCCGGAGCACCGAATGAGTTACCCAAGTGGCCCCTCCCTCCCTTGGTTGCCCAAGACACAGCTCAGACCATTCTCATGGGGTAGAGGAGGGGCAGAGGGGCATAGTGGTCTGGGGCAAATACCGTGAGGGTGCCCATGAAGTGCGGCTGTGCCACATGGTGATGGTCCCCAGCTGGCCCGGGGGCTGAGAGACCGCCGCGTGACAAGCCAGGGGTGGACTCCTCAGTGTCCTCTAAGGTTGCCATCTTCCTGAGGCCTGCTCAAGGGGTGTGCACCTGGGACCCAAGGAAAATGAAAACCAAGGTAGATAAGGGGACGGAGAGTGTTGTTGAAGAGCACCATGCCAGCCTCCAGCAACCCTAGCTGACACTTCGCTTTTCTACTTAGCAGGAGAAGGTTGCCAAGAAAAGGCGGGTGGACTCTTGGGGAGCTGCAGGGTCCACGGTACAGGGGCCTGCATTTTTACTCAGTCTGAAGGCCTCCTCAGTCCTGGCAGCATCACCAGCGAGGCAGTGGCCCCGAGCTCTTCTCAACAGAGGACTAAATGTTCTCCCAACACAGCCTGCGGAGGAGAGCAAGTGTGCGCTTCCAGAGAACACACTGGCGCCATAGCGGGGGCTTTGGCTCTGTGAACGTAAGGCACGAGAACTCTTCATGAAAATAAGAGGGATGCTTTTCCCGAGGGAAAACTTTTCCTCGGATTCCAAAGATTCTGAGGCTGCAGACCCCAAGCCCAGATTTCCCACAGCACCACCCACAAGTGTACGTTATGTGCGCTTTCCGGGCTGGAGATGAGGCTCGCTTGGCTGAATGCTTGCTTAGCATGCCCGAAGCCTAGAGCCGTAAGATCAATCCCCAGCACCGCAAAAACTGGGTGTGGTGGAGCGTGCCTCTAATGCCAACACTTGGGAAGTGAAGGCAGCAGAAACAGGAAGTTCGAGGGCATCCTTGGTTACACAGCAAGTTCGAGGCCAACCTGAGCTACATGACTCGAGGAAATGTTAAAATGGGGGAGAAGATTTTTCCTTAACTTGATTTGCTATAAATGAATGGAGCCCAAAGAGAGGGGCTGGTTTTCTTCCACAGTGATGAGGGCAGAAAGGATGACAGGGAACACACATGGGGCGAGGGGCAGCAGCATCCGCCGGGAGAAGGTGGAGGCGCTGGGTGCAGGCGCCGGGCGGACGCCCCCGGATGAAACCACTCAAAGGCCCGGGGCCAGGGCTGACCGGAGTCTCGGCAGTGGAAGAAAGCAGACAACCACGGAGATGAACCGAAGGGTCCGCCTTGGACCCGCTGGGAGGGGCGACCATTCACCTTGCGAGCGGGAGAAGACCGCCCGCGCGTCGGCCGGAAGTGCTCCTCCTCCGGGAGGCCCCGCCCCCGGTTGCGGGACGCTCTGGACCCCGGAGGACCACGCCTCGGTGGCCTCTGGGCGCTCCAAGCCTTTATGCTGTGTGTCCTCCCCACGAGGGTCCCTCCCTTACGGTCCAACAAAGACGGTCTGGAGAATCTGTTTTCAACGCAGCAGAAAAGCCCGGCAGAGGCGTCAGAGCCCGGGTGCCATAGCGTTATTAGAATTGGCCCCAACCAGGACCACACGCGTTGCTACAGGCGGCAGCTGACCTTAAGCAGTCTGGCAGACTTCAGACTGTCTCGGGTGCGTCCTCGCACGTGGCTATAGGAATTCTTGCTGCGATTTCATAACCCGCACCAGCATCAGGAGGGAGGAAGCTGCTGCCAGTTGCTAAGGAGTTCTCGACCACGGAAAAGGCCTCCAGACTTAATTCAAATTACAATTAAGCAAAAAAAAAAAAAATTGCTTTAAGACAGAGTTTCTCTGTGTAACAAAGTCCTGGCTGTCGTGGAACTTGCTCTGTACACCAGGATGGCCTGGAACTCACAGGGATCCACTTGCCTCTGTCTCCCCAAGGCTGGGATTAAAGTCGCGTGCCACACACACCTCCTCCCCCGACTCCAAGCAAAAAATTTTAAGGCTGCTAGCAGGGCCACAGTGTCTAACCCAAATCAGAGATGTGCGGTCCAGAAGCGGGCGTAGTTTAAGAAGGGCTTTTAAAGGGTAAAACCACAGGAGCTGTCTTGTTCTGCCAAGATTAGATTAGATGGCCAAGGTGACTTCAAAATAGTCCTTGAATGTCTGCATAAGCCCATTACAGAAGCCAAACCAGAAGTTAGTCATGTCATAGCAAGAAAATGGGGGAAGGAGGGACCAAGGAGTCAGGGCTGGGTAGACCTTATCTTTCAGAAACGTGAGTCAGAGACCAACAGCTATTAGGTACCAAACTGGATGCCTAGCACAAAATGGAGTTTCTTCAGCCATCAAACCAGGCACTTGTGATTCCTGCGGTTAAAGTGAGAGGGTCCCCACCCCCCACTCCCGCCCATGAAAATTCCAGGGAGAGATCCGAATCGAGTAGCCTTCCCTGATCAAGCCTGTGCTGTACTGATTTCAGGCCAGGCAGCCCTGGGGACCCCGGCCTTCCGCTCAGATGATGATGCAGACCCTCCAGTGCAAAGTAGCAGAAAAGGCCCCAGCTGGGTTTGTTGAGTTAGAAAACAGGGACACATTTGGTTTGTCCACTCAGCAGAACACTATCCAGCTTGATTTGACTCCAGCTGGGCCTCTAGGGGGTGTTTGTGTGGGCAGAGCAGGCTCTGTCTCACCTGTTTGCATGAACCTTCCTAAGCTTTTCCCAGACAGAAGAGCTGGTCAACCCAGAGTCACTTACATGGAGTTCTGGGAGCCCTTCCCGTACAGTGTGTAACAGGTACCCAGACCTTAGCACAACTGACTCCATGATGGAAGTACCATTTCAGGTCACAAAATTAGCACATAGACACCACCCACCTGCCAAAACAAAAGCAAAGCCCTAATCCATCAAAGTCCATACTTCTGGAGGTCTATAAGTATATTAACTTGCTTTTTGGACTGTCCTGCTTCTGAGTAGCCATTCTTGTTAACCAGAACATGGTTTTGTGTTTACATGCTCCCCCTGAGGATGGGTCAGTGCTACACTGGGATCTAAGCATTCAGTGTAGTTGCTAACAAAGACTTTCTATCGGCTTCAACCCATGCTGCAGTCTTCTCTCACAACATTTCTGGAGGTCCCACAGAGACCCCCAGATTCCAGACTGTGAGACACTGAGGGGCTCTGATGCCCTTGGAGCAGGGAAGAGTGCAGAGGTCAAGGAACTCCTAGGGGGCTCGCAACCTGAGATGTTCCAGGTCCCCAGGGTCCCCTTTGATCAGTTGCTGTCTAATGCTTTGGAGTGGGCTGACACCTTCACCCCAAAGGAAACACATGTCGCCTGGTCTGTCACCTCTGGAGTAAGACTGGATAAACACCTTCTGTTTGGACATTCATGACAGGTCAGAGATGGCTGTATCCAGGGTTCATTTGAGACATCACTGGGATCCTCCTGTCTGTCCAAGCTGGTGGCCACCCTCATTCTCTCTCTCTCTCTCTCTCTCTCTCTCTCTCTCTCTCTCTCTCTCTCTCTCTCTCTCTCTCTCTCTCTCTCTCTCTCTCTCTCTGTCTCTCTCTCTGTCTCTCTCTGTCTTTGTCTGCCTGCCTTTCTATTGTTTCTGCGAGTTCTATTTTCCCATATTGACTAGAGGCTTTCTCTGGTGTAAGATGCATGGGTGTGTGCGCGCGCATACACACACACACACACACACACACACACACACACACTCACTCACCACTTAAGAACTGTGCCTCAGCCGGGCATTTGTGGTGCACGCCTTTAATCCCAGCACTCAGGAGGCAGGTGGATCTCCGTTTGAGGCCAGCTACATAGAGAAACCCTGTCTTGAAAAACCAAACCAAACCAAACAACAACAACAACAAAAACAAAAAACAAAACTGTGCCTCTCTTTTGGGGATCTGAATCCTTTTGGTTTTGCCAGGTTAGTCAGAGAAGCCCCCCAATCTAAATCTAAAAAACAAACAACCCCCCAGCCCTCCACCTGTCCCACTCCAGGGCACTCACTGGTTTCCTTCATTCTTGACTCCTGCCCATGGTTCCTGTGTAGAGGCACCAGGCCTCTCACCGAGGGCCCCCTGATATCTAAGCAGGATGCAGGGGAGGGGAAGTGGTTTCCCTGAGATGCATTCCCTCTGCTCCCCAGGCTGTTCTAAGCAGCCCAAAGCCTCTTTCATGATTTGTCTCCTCTTCAACCAAAATTCATCATTCTCTGAAGGAAAAAAAGTAGGAAAACCACCCGAGGCTGGACGGTGCAGCCTGGATAGAGTGATTTTTCACTTCTGTCTGACACCGACCAAGGGGATTTTAAACAATGTTCACCAGGTCCGTTTTAGAAGAATTAATGACAGCTGATAAAAAGATTTCCTTTGTCACCCAGTCAGCCCCAGATATTAGTTAATATATATTAGTTATTATAAAACTTAAAAAATGTAAAGGTATAAATAGGTCCCAGTTGCTGGAGGTAGCTCAAAGGTGTTTAACAACAGAGAACTGATGGAGAGAACAGACCTTTTCATAAACTGAAAGCCACTGTCACCATCTCTGACGACAAGACACAGACATACAGATACCCAGCAAAGTCTTGGCGTCCTGCCCTTTGTCAGAAGAATGTCCTCTAGCTGAAAGTCCTGCCCCCAATCAAAGGATAAGGTTGGACTATCTCTCAGATTGACAACAGAGATTCCTAGGGCTACGGGCAGAAACCAACCCCCCAGCCCCCAAGACTGGCCCAACACCCAGTTCCTATAATTGTCCAACTAATCAGTTCAGCTACTCTCATAAGATTAAACAATACCCAATGACCTTGGATACAAAAAGGGAAGCTGTGGTCCACACTGGCAGACTAGAGAGACAGGCATCCTGGTGCCCTGCCAGTCACCCTGGAGTACACCTCTCCTGCCTGTGAAGAAACCTGGGACCTCTGGTTCTCATGAATCTGATTCTTCCAGAGAAACAGGTGTATACACTCTTGGACCTGAAGGATGCATTCTTCAGCCTCCGTGGGCAGAGGTGAGTCAACCCATTTGTGCTTTTACATGGACAGACCCACAGAGAGGTTACAGCAGGCAACTTACCTGGACCATGTTGTCCCAAAGATTTGGAAATCCTCCAACTCTTACTGTGTGTACTCTAACCATACCTCCTCCTAACCTCTGAAGCTAAGATAAAATATAAAAGGGCCACCTTGGGACTGCTGAGAGAGTGAAAGGCCTCGGGCTACAGAATGTCAGCTAAGAAAGCCTGACTTTGTATATTAGAGGCTATCTGTGGTGCCTGTGCCACAAGCAAGTCTAATGTATTGGGCAAAAGCCTGGAGATTTAAATGAAAGACAAGATGTCTGGCCATTTGTGCTAAGAAAATGCGCACGCCTGTGTGTGTGTGTGTGTGTGTGTGTGTGTGTGTGTGTGTGTGTGTGAGTTTGTGTTTTCACAACTAGAGGTTGATGCCAGTGGGGCAAGGCCGGGGTTGTAAGCCAGGACTAGAAAACAGGACGCACCTGTGGTTATTAGCTGACAAGCAACTTACAGAGACCCCGAGGGAGCTGGGGCCCAAGAGCTACCCGCCCTGGCTCCCAGCTGAGGCGAGGCAGAAGGAGCCTGTCTCAGAGTAGGATTGCTGCCATCCTTCAGATCCTACACCTAAAGACTGAGAGGCAGGTTCAAGAGTTCCCAGGTGTGGCTTCTATTGCCACCCCTCTACATGAGGGTTTATGGAAATAGCAAGGTCTCTATATGCCAGCACAAGCGGTGGGGACACTGAACTCCTAATCAGAACGGGACTAAACAAAAGGTGTTTGAGGCTTTAAAAGCAGCTCTGACTTAGCATTTCCAGATGTCTCAAAACCTTTCCATATGTTTGTTCACGAAATAAATACATTACAAAGGGTGTTTTTAACCCAAAATTTGGGGTCATAGAAGTGCCCAGTGACATACCTGTCCAAAGGATTGGACCCTGTAGCCACAAGATGGCCACCTGTCTAAGAGCTGTGGTAGCAACTTCTAGTCTAATGAAACAGGCCAACCTGGATCAGGATCTTATACTCACAGCACCCACACCGTTGAGGGTGCCCAGAATGCTACAGCACTGGCTGTCTAATGCCCATGAGACCCAGTGCCAGGCCCTACTCCTGGTCCACTCTTGTCTTAGGGTTTCTATTGCTGTGACCAAGGCAACTTTTTTTTTTTTTTTGGTTTTTTGAGACAGGGTTTCTCTGTATTGTTTTGGAGACTGTCCTGGAACTTGCTCTGTAGACCAGGATGGCCTCGAACTCACAGAGATCCACCTGCCTCTGCCTCCCGAGTGCTGGGATTAAAGGCGTGCACCACCAACGCCTGGCCCAAGGCAACTTTTATGAAGGAAAATAATTAATTGGGACTATTTTACAATTTCAGAGATTTGGTCCATTACTGTCTTGGCGGGAAACATGGCAATATGCAGGCAGATACGGTGCTTGAGATCCAAAGGCAAAAGAAGCAACTGAGCTTAGCTTAACATAGGAGAGCTCAAAGCTGGCTGCCCCGCAGTGACACACCCCTCCAACAAGGCCACACCTACTCCAACAAAGTCTTACCTCCTAATAGTGCCACACTCTGGGGGAGGGGGACATCTTCTTTCAAACTACTACAACTCTCAAGTCTGGTTTGAGAAACACACTGCCATCAACTCTGCTAGTCCATTGTCACAGAACTGATCCATTAGAACCAGGTTCTCAGATTAGGGAAAAGCAAAGCCCACCACAATATACACAGTCATTATGCTGTTACTACCTCAAATGTCCATGGTATGATCTATGGAAAAAGAAGGCTTCTCACCACTTGGGGGAAGGACATTAAAAACAAAGAAATCTTGGTCCTTCTAGAAGTTATTTGGCTTCTCCTATGAATTGCTATCCTCCATAAACCGATGGATGACTCCCTGAGGCAAGAGGTAACCAGGCTGCCTGACAAAAGGCCCTAAGACCAGTGGGGCCTGGTGCTATTCTGGTGGCAGACCCTAACCCCACGAGAAAACAGAAGATGCAAACCAAGAAATGGACAGCTCAAACTCTCAGGTGGGTGGAGGACACCAGAGGGAAAGAAACAATTGAACAATTGACAGAACTCTGGTAACTGACCTTCACCAGTCTGTTATACCTAGACTGGGCAGCCTAGTATGGGGTGTTTCAGCCAGATGCCAGGTATGTGCTCAAGTGAATCCAAAACAGAGAGCCCTTACCCAGGAAAGCATCCAGATGAAAGGCCAACACCTCAGTGAACTCTGGGAAATCAACGTCACTGAGATCAGGCCTGCCAGGGGAGCATTCAAGTACTTGCTGGTTTTTATAGGTACCTTTTCTGGGTTGGTAGAAGTGTTCCCCATCCAGACTGAGCCAAAATCTCTCAATTACTAGCTAAAGCTTTAGATACAGATTAAAACCTCCATTGTGAGTCAGCCATTGGTGGCTCATACCTTTAATCTCAAGAGACAGAAGCAAGCAGATCTCTGAGTTTGAGGCCAGTCTGGTCTACAGAGCAAAATTCAGTACAGCCAGGGCTACAAACACAGAGAAACCCTCTCTCAAAAACCAAAACAAAACAATTCCATTGTGTTTACAGACCTTAGAATTCTGGGCAGCTAAAAACAAACAAGCAGGACATTAAAAACAAAACAAACCCACAACACTTTCAGAGTCCAGCAAAGGGTGTACAGACAGACCTCTTCCCTTTGCTCCCCGCCCACTGCACCCTAAGTGGAGAGGAATTCACCCTCCATGCTTCGAAGACCTCCCTAACTTCCCTGGCTCAGAGGCCAGCAGTTGGCAGAACTCTCTAACCATTACTTGTTTTAGTCACTTGCTTTAGGCCTAACCTTGGAAACATACATATTAAGCTAAAGCTTGTCATTCCGTAAATGAATGACTTAGCATGACTATAAGCATAGTTCTGAGCATATTAAAAAATTCCATCATTTATAAGGTGATTGGCCAGTAGCTTACATATCTTAATTATCTTCAACAGATTACAACAGATTAGCAATTTTTATGAGATTAGAATTTCACAGTTTATCTCTGTTAAGTTTTAGCTTTAAAATTTTGAATTGAAGATTTAATTGAAAATCCTCTAGCAGTAAAATGAAACCTTAAACCATAAATACAGTCCATAGAGGGACTGGGACCCTTACAAAACCATAAATGCAGCCATGTGAGGCCTAGGTCCTCACATCCACAGAGAGGCTGAGAGCCTTGCTTTTTTTTTTTTAATCTTTTTATATCACAGTTTTTATATGACTTAGTTTATCCAAACAGCTAAAGCTTAACAAAGTCAGCAAAGACAAAAAGACTGGACCTGTATCTTTAAGTCAGTGCCTCTTAGCCCGAATAGGCCTAAGATATTTATAAACCTTATTTATCAAATATATCTTACCTACCAAAATATTCTTTTAGACTAAAGCTTTTTAGAAGTCTGGTGTTGAATGAAGAGCCCAGAATTTAAAATTGTAAGCCTAAACACATTTTTGGGGAAATTGAAGCTGATAGCTAGTGCTAACAATGCTTTCTGCCTTAAGAGCAAGTCAGTCTGGCAGCTACCGTGCACAGAGGGAAACACTTTTCTTTTTTGGTTTTTCCGAAACAGGGTTTATATTGTTTTTTGGAGGCTGTCCTGGAACTCGATAGGTAGACCAGGCTTGGTCTCGAACTCACAGAGATCCACCTGCCTCTGCCCCCCGAGTGCTGGGATTAAAGGCATGCGTCACCACCACCCGGCAGAGGGAAACACTTACAACAACTGTTTCCTGCCTCCCGTCTGGGCAGCGTCCAGCTAGGCAGTTATGGTGGGTAAAGGTTAGCCTGTAACTATTGCTTTTGTGGAACCCGTGTTGTGTTCCCTTAACTTTCAGACATCCTTTTACATGCTCTCTACTCTCTTCCTTGCATTCTTTCAGGGATTTCAGAAGGCAGCTGTGTCAGACATCCCAAGTTAGCACCCTGTAACGGAAAGTTGCAACCCTCACAATGTAACCAGACTCTAACCCTGACCTCAAGGCTGTAAAAGCTCTTTGACCCACGCCTGGAGCTTGATTGTTACTATAAGAAGAGGCCCCAAACCGGCGTCCGTTGTCACAGTGTCAGAAGCCCGACTCTGACCTGCCGCCCTACCAAGCTGCGAGTTTCTTGTACCCCGTGGTGGTTGGAGTAAAGTTTGCTTCTGGTTCCTAGGCTTTGGTGGTGTGTTCTTCATTTTTTTGGCATGTCCCTGGGACCCAACATTGAACACAATTAGCAAAGACCTAAGTGGTTACACATACATCTCTAAGTCAGTTTCTGTTAACCTGAGTAGACCCCTAAAACCTTAGGAATTTGGAAATCTTAATAAGCTATTTTTTGCTTGGAATTTTACAGCACACCGCCTGTCCCCAATGGTCTTACATTTTATCAAGAGCTCTGAATATCCATGGCCTTGAATGGAGGCACAATTTTTTTGCTAACAAGAACAAAGAGAATGAGGCTGGAGAGACGGCTCAGTGGCTGAGAGACCGGCTGCTAGGGACCTGTTCATTCACAGCACCTGCATGGAAGCTAACAACTGTAACTCCAGCTCCAGGGGATCCAACACCGTCAGACAGACAGATGTGCACATGAAATAAAAACAACAGCAAACAGTGCCAAAAGGGGAAGAGTCAGAGCTAGACACCTGCAATTACATTTAGTTGTTTTAATTTTCATATAAATCTTTTTGATTAAAAATTTAAGTCAATATTTTTGTACTTGTTTTTATTTTGTGTACATTGGTGTTTTGCCTGCAGGTCTGTCTGTGTGAGGGCATCGGGTCCCCTGGAACAGGAGTACCGACAGTTGTGAGCTGCCATTTAGGTCCTCTGGAAGCGTTACTAAGAGTTACTTAGCCACTGAGCAATCTCTCTAGACCATTAAATAAAAAAATGTAAATGAGACCTAACAGTAACAAATAAATATACCATTTATTGTGAAAAGCCCGAGAATAAGGATGTAGATATGTAGGTCCCAGAAATAGGAATGTAGAAATGTAAGGAGAGAAAGTCGTCAGCAGAGGAGAATGAGAGCAGCTTAAGGGGCATCACAATGGGCTCCTTTGCTCTACACCGACTGATAGCTCTGTCTGCAAGACTAAAACGGCCCTCTGCAAACTAAGGGTCTCTCTGAAAACTGAGAGTCAGCTTTCAGACGCCCCCACTCATGACCAGCAAATTGAGCTGAGTTAACTTTTAAATGTGCATTGTTCCACACTCTTCCTAGCTATGTAAAACTGGCTGTACCAGGGGGGTGCAGAGTTTTGGTGAACACCACCAGAAATCTCCAGAGAGAAACAATGGATTGAAAGGGGTAAACTAAACTCAATGGCTTCACTTCTAATAATTTAGAAATAAAGGCACCAAGTCCTCACTCAGCCCTGTTTTAGCATGGCAGGCTACAGAAAAGACACGTAGGCCTCTGACACAAGGAAATTCCAGATCCTCTGGCCTCTCAAAGCCTACAGCCAAAACTAAACACGAAGAAACTCCAGACTCCCCACCCCCCACCCCCAGCCTCCTAGATGCTTGATTCCTGGGAACTATTTGGCCACAAAAGAAACTGGGGAGGGAGGAAGGGACCAAAACCTCCCCTGTAGTCTCCAGGATACAGTTCTAAAAACTATTGGTATCTATGTACAACAGGCCATCTGCAAGTAACAAGACAATGCCACAGAAACCACAGAATGTTCCCTCTCAGCACTGACCAATGAAAATAATTGGTACACAGGTATTTCATGCCAAAATATGACTTTGAGAAATGCTCCTAATTGTTCCCAAATGTCAACCAATCAGAAACCATCCCATATGTAATCCTGTAACTTTTGTCTATAAAACCTAGCAAAAAAACTAGCAGTAGATAGGGAACTAGCAGTAGACAGGGACAGACGGGGTCCCTGTCATGGTTGGATGAACAATCATTAAACCTTGTTTTTGCAGTTTGGTGGGTCTGTCTTCCTGGTGGTCTCTGGGGACTTTGCAACTTGGGCACAACATGGACTAGATGCAAACACTAGTTAAACTGAAAAACCCTGTTATTGGAAATTGTAAAAAGCAATTTGTAACTGAGTTTTACCTTGAGATTGTAAAAATTCTTTTGTTCATGACTAATGCTTGCTTCTTACTATAAAAAGGGGAGTTCGAAAACACCCAATTTGCCAGTTTCAGAAGCCTGAACTCTGACTGTGGACACGGCTGTTTCGGATAAGCTTTTGTGACCCTCAGAGATTTTTTTTCTTTTCCTGGCATACATAAAGCTTGCTTCTGGTTTAATAGACCTTGGTGGTCTGCCCCCTGTCATTGCAGGACCCTAGACTCAACAAGTTGTAAGATTTTTTTCCTAAGGGGGTGTTAGGCAATATGTTTTCCAATTGCTTCATAGGTGGGCCCCATCCTTTTTTTTGTTGTTGTTGTTATTGTTGTTGGTTTTTTGAGACAGGGTTTCTCTGTATTGTTTTGGAGGCTGTCCTGGAACTCACTTTGTAGACCAGGCTGGGCTTGAACTCACAGAGATCCGCCTGCCTCTGCCTCCTGAGTGCTGGGATTAAAGGCGTGCACCACCTACCACACCTTTAATATTAAACTTTAGCAAGCCCAGCTCTGATGATCTGAGGAAGGCATCTGTGGAGTTACTAGTGAGAGGTTTCAGACACAGGCCTGATTTTACTTTAAGCCAGTTTATGTGTGTCTGCAGATGGAGGCAGACACCTGAAAAGCTTCGCAAGTGTCTTTTTATAAAGTCATCAGGCCTAGAGGCCTTTAAACAGAAAACTATAAAAGCAGAAAATGATGGCATCAGGGTGCTTTTGTTTTCTTTACAGATTTTTAACCATATCCAATAAGCTTACAAATCTCAAGGCATAGAAAGTTTATATAGCAGTCTTATAAATCTTATATTTCATAGTCTTATAAATTTATAATTTACAAAAGTTTGAGAGCATTGAGTAAAAGCAAGGAAAGGAGTGTGAGGTAAGCAGCAGTGATTCCTATTGGAGTAATCACTGTTGCTGTTGTAAGTACCACGTGTCTCCTGAGCTGTTTTTCCTGTCCCTGCCACAGGCAGGAGACCTGTCTGCCCCAAGACAGAGCTTTTGGGGAAAACCTTTAAACAGGCATGCTTGGGTCAGGCGAGGAGGCCACACCCCAACTCCAGAGTCAGCTTTTTAATAAAGTAGAACAGCATAAAACATACTTCAATATTATCCATTTCCAAGACACCTGTGTTCCAGGTATTTGTTTACACTGTGTGAAGATGTGTATTGCTATTGGTTTAACAAAGCTGAATGGCTAGGCAGGCTAGGCAGAAGAGAACAGGCCAGACTTCTGGGGAAAGAGAGGAACTCGGGAAAAATCTAGATGCAGGAGAGACACCACTGAGACATGGAGAGTCGGACATACAGAATGGAGATTAATAGAAACAGGATAATTTAACTTATAAGAGCTAGTTGGGAACAAGTCTACACTAAAGACTTAGCTTTCATAATTAATAGTAAGTCTCTGTGGCCTTATTGGGGAGTTGGTGGCCTGACAAACCAATTACACACCTGAATCCCTGAAAAACTGAATCCACTGACCAGGTCAAGCAGAAAATAAAGAAAGCTCAGAGAAAACAATCTGTGAGAGACCAGCAGGATTTAAACAGTAGGCTCACTGAACCAATAAGAGGGAAAAGACGGAACAAACCAGGAGGGGTGATGGCGGCAGCAGCAGTTGGCGGTAGCCTTGTGGAAATCACGAAAAAAATGATGCAGTGTGCAACCCACAGGGGCCTTAACTATGCTTGGTCCAGCTCCCATGTCTGAAACACAAACCAGAACACACCAGAAAACACAAATAAACTCTGAGACAAAAGCAAACAAGCAAGAACGTCACACAGTCAGAGACCAAACACAGACAGTGGTGGCCATTTTCACTCACCAAGATCAGGGGGACAGGAAGACGTCTCCCACTCTATCCCTGGAGACTGGGTCGGTCTATGATCATATCTGATTTCCCCTGTCTCCCCTGATGTTGGGACTTCCAGAACAGAACAATGCACTAATTGGTTTGGGTTTCAAATGTACATTGGCCAGCAAGTTTTACTTTTTTAGTTTATCTTGAGGCAGGGTTTCTCTGTGTAGCCCTGGCTGTCCTGTAACTCACTCTGTAGATCAGGCTGGTCTCCAACTCACAGAGATCCACCTACTCTGCCTCCAGAGGGCTGGGAATTTGTAAATCTGTGTCTGGGGATTCACAATGTGCTTACCCCTACCTAGGGCCTGTTCACCCCTAGAGTCTCCCAGTTGTGGTTTTTGACCCTGTTTAGGGCCTGTCCCCGACTAGTGACTCCTTAATTTGTGACAGCTATTTTGGGCTCCCCTGGACTTCCAAGTCCACCTTGAACTTGCCTCACTTAGGGACCATCCCAAGACCCTCATCCCTGAGTCTGGAGTCTTCCAGGGATCCTGGATGAGTTCCCAAATGTTATAGAGTTCGAGACCCCCCCCCCAGGAAAAGACCACAGACTCCATCCAGATTATAATTAGTTGAATTTTAATGAATCTGCTAGGACAGGAGATGGTCATGGCTCTGCATTTCTGGGTGGGGGTCACCGAATTATTGGGAACTCATCTATCCTCTAGGGCCTGGAGGCAGAGACAAATGTCTAGTGGGTACCAAGATGGATGCCTAGCATAAAATGTAATTTCTTTAGTTATCACACTATCAGCACCATCCGGGTCTTTAATTCTTATTCTGATTGGATTAAAGGTGGGCCCCTGCACCTGCCTGGCCAATTACGTAACAATTTGGTAAAATTAATGGCCCTTAGGACCAACTGTACTTCTTTAGAGTGGGATGAGTCCTCAATTTGACTCATTCACTGAGACCAGTGGGGAATGTAACAGGCACCCAGACCCTAGCTCACCTGACTCCATGATGGAAGCAGCATCATGTAGACAGAGCCACCCGACAATACAAAGCCAAAGACCTGATCCATCAAAGTCTATAGTTCTGAGAAAGTGTCTAAACATACTAACTTTGCCTTTTGACTTCTGTACTTCTGCTTCTGGCTAAAACTGTTCTTGTTTACTGAGTATGTCAACTCACCACACGGTTTTTGTGCTGAAAAGCTCACCTGAGAAAGGCTCAGTGCTGAACTGGGATCCCAAACACACGGTGTGGGCACTGGTCAGCTAATAAAGATTTTATTGGCTTAAACCCATGTCCTAGCCTTCTCCGTTGGATACCCCACAAGTGGTAGCCTGGAGAGTGGAGGTCTGGTGCCCAAGACAACCAAGGAGGTGCTACCAAAGGAGGGAAAACTGACAGGGAGAGGTAAGAGTATTCACAGGAAGTAGTGTGTACAAAGGTCATTTGGCCCTGAGGGGGCAGGCACACCAGGATGTGGTGAACAAGGGGAGACTGGAGCATGACGGGCAAGGGTCAGACAGACAACAGTCCTAAAGCCACTCCAGAACCAGGTTTCACTCTAAGTGCACTGGAAGTCTTGAAGGGGAGGAATCCACTTTATTTGTCGCATGCATATGGCTGTTTTGCCTGTTTGTATGTCTGTGTAGCACCTGCATGCCTGGGCCTATGAAGAGCAGGAAAAGGAGACAGATCTCCTGGAACTGTAGTTATACATGGTTGCAAGCTGCCATGTAGGTGCTGAGAATCTGACACGGGTCCTCTCATAGAGCAACTGGTACTCTTAAATCACTGAGTCTTCCTTCTCTCTAGTCTCCCTTTTTTGAAAATGCTAGTGGTGGGACCTGAAATCAGGGTCTCAAGTATGCTGTGTTTCATCACGGGGCTAAGCCTCCAGCTTCACCCCCCCCCTTTTGAGATGGGAGTCTCACTATTGCTATCTCAGCTATTCTGGATCTTGAAGCTCAAGTGACCCTTTTACTTCATTTTAAGGTTAGTCTTGGGGATGCAGGAGAATGGATCAGAAAGGAGAAAGGTTCCTCTTGTGTTTCTGTTGACTGTGAGCCCACCTCAGTCCCTAGCTTCCTGAGTAACAACATGGTACCAGCACTCTTTGTTGCTGCAGTGGGGTTGACCTATCAGATCCTCCAAACAAAACTGTCCCCAGGCACCGCTAGTTGTCTCTTGCAGGGCTGGAGAGATAGCTCAAGTGGTTAAAAGAACTGTCTGCTCTTCTAGAGGACCTAGGTTCAATTCCCAACACCAACATGACAGCTCACAACTGTCTGTAACTCCAGTTCTAAGAGGTCCAACACCCTCACACAGACATACATGCTGGCAAAACACCAATGCATGTGAAATGCAGAACAACAAAAACCCATCAATTTAAGTGTCTCTTGCAGGATCACTCTTTGTTGAGAACAGCTGCTCTAAATGGAGAATGAATGGCCAATTCCCAGGTTTCTCTCAGGGTCCCAACTACAGGCACTAAACAACCAAACCCTAAGACCCTATCCTGGCATCTTAGTACCTGGAATCAAAAGGCAGGAGGATGTCTTGCTGCTGTCTCCGCTCTTACCCTACTGTACAGCAGTGACGACTTCTCTGAATTACATAGTATGCTCTCATGAGCTTGGACACTGGAGCTTATTGGACACTCCCGAGAAGCAGTGACCAGCTGGGACCCTGGTCCTGCAGCTCACTGTCCCCAGTGGAGAAAGCTGGTGGCTTCTCTGAGGGCATCCCTCCACACTGTAGAGAACCCGACAGAGCACAGTAAGCAGGCTGGAAACACATTTGCTTTTATGAGAAAATAGACATCAGTAGCAGCAGCTTCTGCTCACAAAACCATGGCAGCAGCTGGAAGGCCATGTGGAGGTCAGTGCAGGCGTCCATGGAGCAGAGGGTCAGACACGAAGGAAGCCACTGAGTGCACAGCAAACAACGTCTAGGCCAACGTGCACAGCACTGTCACAGCACCAAGAATATTTTACATGGAAGGAAGAGTTGACAATTGTGACACACAAACACCAGTCCGGGACAGCATCTGCTACAACACAACAGGCTATGGCTGCAGCCCTTAAAGAGGAATTCACTCATTGCAATTTAGCACAGGAGGGCAGGGTACGTATAAGGCATTAGGACACACAGGTGTCTCTGCACCAGCCAGATACAAAAAAGATGAGGTTCCGCCAAATTGTTGATGTGGCTGAGGTGAGGTGTGGACAGGCCACCTGGGTGCTACCAGTTCTCAGGGGCCAAGAGCCCCCTGTTACAGGTCCAGAGCCAGATGCCTGCAGACCCGGCTGCAGGGCCACGCCTCACCCTGGTGTTGGTTGGGAACTGCCACATGAAAGCATCAGTCCCAGGAGACTTGAGTCCAGAGAGAGCATCTACTTGTCTTCGTGAGAGGGAACCAGGAGAAAGCCAACACCCAACTCCACAGGCACAAAGTTCTGGAGGGGGAGGCTGACAGTGAGAGCCACCTCCTGACCGGAGGGCCCGTGTGGGACACAGGTTAGTCTCCTTGTCTGCACTGTCCCTGGAGTCCACCCCCGAGGTGACCCTATTCCCCCAAATCTCCCCTAGAAGCCACAGAGCATCTGTCCCTTGAATCAGGGTACATAGCTTTTCTTCCTAGGGCCCGCCTGGGGCCTGGCCCGCCCGGGGCCTGCCTTCCTCTTTAGGACATCTTGGTATCCTAACTCACGGGCACAGAAAATGATTGTGTCTTGATGTCAAACTGGGATGGCTCCAAGGTCAAGGAGTGGAGCCCAGGTGTGCCCTGGAGCTACAGCCTTCCGGGGCGGAAGTTGCCAGCTAGAGTCAAGTCTAGCCAATGGTCTCCTCAAGAGAAGACAAAGGACTGCTGGGCCCATGGCTACTTGTGCCTCTCCCTAGAGGTGGCTCCTGACTTTCCACTTGGCTGGGAGGAGACTGAAGGAACGGATGCTGGCGCAGCTCAGAGCTCATGTTCATTTACTCGTCCTCAGGCCCTGGCAGGGCTGTCTGCGCTGAGGCTCAGCAGCAGCTGTGCGATCAGAGCCCTTCCCGCAGGACAAAGCTCTCCTCACTGGCAGCTGAGGGGCTGATGAACGGAGCCGCCCTGGACTTCTCAGGGATCTCTGGCTGCAGTTGAGTAAGCTTCTGTAAGTGGAATCCCAACACATTGATGGAGTGCTCTTCATTGCCCCAAGATACATCTCAAGACATCTAGAAGGTTCTGAACATTTACTTTTAGCCAAGTGGCTGTTCATCATGTTTCACTGAAGTAAAGAGCTGGTGCTGGGGACTTTCCAGTGAGCTAGAACTAATGGTCACTTGTGAATGATGTGACGTGGCCATCTTAACTTCAGGGTAGGCACAAGTCAAGAGTGCCCTGTAGTTACCACATGGCGTTCAAAAGGCCTCCTTGAGCTCATCCACCTACAGCTTCCCTGTTGCCAATGGATTCTGTGATGACAGCCTCCCTGGTGCATGGCCCAGTGGGCATCTGCAGGGCCCTGTGGTGGAAGTAGACCTGACTATCTTGACTTCTCTGAGCTTCTTGCTGGGGAGATCTGCACTGGCCGCCTGGAAAAACAAAGAACGGTCTGGGTAAATGAGAAGAGGGAAGTCCCTCGTTCACTAGGAGAAACTGAAGGAAATGGTGGGCTAAGCGCAAGCCGGTTCTGCCAGCTACCCAGAGAGTGGAGGGTGCAGAAGGATGTGGGGTGCCCGTTGTAGACTGACACCTAGTAGCACACATGTGCACTTAACACAGGCAGCAAGGTCTGACACCCCCCCCATCCCCTGGGGCTGTACCATAACTCCTCCTGCTGGTTTGGTTGTATGATTTTCTCCTAACTGTATTTGGAAAACCAGAAAAGAATGCCAACAAGGGGCTGGGGAGATTCTCAGCAGTTAAGAGAACTGGCTGCTCTTCCAGAGGACCAGAGTTTGGTCCCCAGCACCTACTGGGTGACTAACTGTAACTTCGCTTCCAGAAGATCCAACACCTCCTTTTGGTCTCTGAGAATAATACATGCATTTGGGGCACAGACAAAACATTCAGGGAAGCATCCAAACCACATAAAGGAAATCACAAAATGTAAAACCACAGGCGTGAGCCAGTGCCACACCTGGACTTTGAGACAGGGTCTCACTATGTAGTCTTAGCTGTCCTGGAACTCAGAGATCCGCCTGTCTCTGCTCTGCCTCCAGAGTGCTGAGATTAAAGGTGTGTATTACCATATCCTGCTACACTTCAACTTTCATACACCAAGTCACTGAATTCTAGCTGATTCTTTTTTTTTTTTTTTTTGGTTTTTCGAGACAGGGTTTCTCTGTGGCTTTGGAGGCTGTCTGGAATTCGCTCTGTAGACCAGGCTGGCCTCGAATTCATAAAGATCCATCTGCCTTTGCCTCCCAAAGGCGTGCGTCACCAATGCCTAGCTCTAGCTAGCTGATCCTTTATCGTTGAGCACTTACACCCCCATTGCACAAGAGGAAACTGAGGCACAAGGTTCAGCAATACATCCAACATTTCAACATCCAGGCACGAAGGAGACTTCAGCTAAAGGACTCATGCTCTCACCACCTGCTTCCTCCTCAGATCAAGCCGTGGCCTTTAATCCTAGTGCCACAGAGGCAGAGCAGAGGGGCAGAGGGCAGAGAGGCAGAGGCAGATGGGTCTCTGTGAGCTGAGGCTAGCCTAGTCTACTCAAAAACAAAACAAAATAAAAGCATATAAACAACTTGATAGCCAAGTGGCAGAGCGGTCTAGCACTCTGGACCCTGGGTTCCAGCCCTAGGGCTACAAAAGCAAAACAAGGACTATGAACCCACCTGTCTGCTGGAGGGATGACTGGACTCTGCCACCCAGGCACTGCTGCAGGTGTCTTCCAGGGCCAACCTGAGGTGAGTATTTGGCATTCTACATGGCATTCTGTGTGTGGGCCCTGTCCTATGCACCATAAAATGTAGAAAAGACAAAGAGTTATTTGTAATCTAGTCCAGGAACAGTCCATGTGGCCAGGTTAGAAAGCAGCTTGGCTGGAGTCAGCTCTATTTCTCTAAGTCAATGGCTCCTTATTTGTTCACTCAAAGCAACTCTTCTCACTGCCAATGACAGGAGTTATCAGAGTTCTGCACAAATCAGAGCAAATCAGACAATGCAGGCACCCCTTGGGTTGTTTGATTGATTTGGGCTATTGTAGATTCTGTGTCCATAATGCCACTCTCCTGGAAGATCAAACTGCAGAAAGTACACTGTACAGCTCCCTGCCTCTTATGGTTCCAGTCCAGTTCCTGCACCCAGGGACCCAACATCCTTAGTGGGCTTTTCCTTAGCTCTGAAGGACTCAGCCTATGGAAAGCTGGAAGAAACCACCTGCAAGCTTGCTGTAGCTCAATCTCATTTTCCACATTAAGAATATGGGTCAGAAACCAGGTGTGGGGTGCATGTCTGTAAATCCCAGAACTCTGGAGGCCGAACCAGAAGGTTCATGGTGAGTTCAAGGCCAGCCTGGGCTACATAGTTAGTTCTCAGCAGCCTGAGCTACATATCAAGACACACTGTCACAAACAAACCCCAAGGGAGCACTTTGGCATCTAGTTTAACCCAGTTGATGGTTTATGCCTGTCACTCCAGCATCCCAGAGGCAGAGGCAGGAGCACTGCGAGTCTGAGGCCAGTCCAGGCTATACAGTGCGAGCCAAGACAACCAGGCCTAGAGTGAGACCCTGTCTCAACAAAACAGAACAGACTGGCAAACAAACCATGGCAGCGCCTCACTGTCAAGTCTGGTTAGCACACAGCCACACTGTGCCATCTGTAAGGGCTGTGGCAGTGTGTGACACAGGTGAGTGTCCGTGTGACTGCAAAGAACGAAATCTGGCCCTTTACATAAAAGGTTGCTAACCCTGACCTGGATTCCCGAGGAATGACCCTGGGGTCACCCCGCCTAGTGGCCCTCTTGGTTTGGAGGAACACACACTATCTTTGGTTTCCTCTCAATACTGAGGAAATAGTGACTCTGTACCTTGAAACCTTTGCACACATCCTTAAGGACAGGGTTAGAGCCTGTGGCCAGGATGCTGCCTTGCCACCTGCTAACACTCCAGGTTCCCACAGTCCCAGAGGGATGCAGGCAACTCCTCTAACCTAGGACATGATGCCCGAGTGTGCTACGCATACATCTACACCAGCTAATACCCATTTTCTCACAATTTCACCTTATTGGATTTCCATATTAGATTAAAGCATCCTCTCCCATGGGGATCAAATCTGGTAAATAATCTTGGGGTCGCCTGCATAAGGAGTGCAGTGTGGGAAGACTTCTACATGGAGTGTTCTGCCCACAGGGAGCGGCAGTACAAGTCCTGGCCCGGCGGCAGCCCCAGCTTGCACTTCCTGACACTGCACCAGCAAACCTGACTAGGTTAGTGCCACTGGCGGCATCAGACACACTCGTCAGCTTTTAGAAAGAGGACGGCTAACCTGACACATCTGCCTTTTTCTCACTATTGTGGCAGCTGTCTGAAAGAAGCAACTTGAGGGTTTCCTTGGCTCCTGGTGTGAAGTGGTACAGGCTACTGAGGTGGGGAGTGTGACATGGTTGACCACACTGCCTGTAACTGGAGGAAACAGATGAGTGCTCCAGTTTCTCTTAAGGCTCTGTGCCTCTACTGCAGTGTGCATGTGGGGTCAGAGAACAACTCTGAGGAGTTGGGCTGGCTCTCTGCTGCCACTTTTACATGGGCTCCAGGACTGAACTCAAACCATCAGGCATCTGAAGCAAGTGCTTTTACCCACTGAGCCGTGTCTCTTCAGTCACCTCTCCCCGGCAGCACCCTCACAGACACACCTGGTGCGCCTCCTAGGTGACTCTTCTATCCAGTCAGCCTGACCATGAAGATTAACTACACACTTGGTAAAACATTCCTACAGGGAGCACAACTGCCCTTCATCATTGATTTCTCATGGTTTCTTTATCTGTTGACAAACCCACCTCTGCTTCTGGCTGGGGACCTTTCTTTCAGGGCAGAGTCCTCAAAGACTAAAGCTATTATTAAGTTTTCTTTTCTTTTCTTTTGTCTAAATCTCTGCTAACTTTCCCACAACTCGCCCTTCTGGTCAGCAGTCACTTTGCTGTGTTAGAACACAGACCTCATAGAACAGCTGGGACAGAGGGCAGGGACAACCACACGGTCTTGTCCTGGTGACAGGCAGGACATGGAACTGACCTGAATGGCAGGCTGCCATGGGGCAGGGCCGCAGTTGTTTCTGACGGCACAGCGGACAGAAGCTGCTGCTGACACCCCGGAGTCACAAGACCTAGTCTAAACAATCTACCACTACGACAGGGTGACGTCCACTGAGGCCACTTGGGTGGGTCCAGGCTACTTGTCACGATGGTGGCTGGGACAAGGATAACAGTGCAGTCCAGTTTCAGGCACTGCGCTGAGCTCAGAGACTGCTGGTCAGCCAGAGGAGAGGAATTTCAGGATCACTGAAGGCTGCACAGAGATGAGCAAGGGGACCTGGGTCCTCAGAGCTGGTCAGAGTGCCGCCTGCCATCCACCTCAGGGCTCCTTGCCCCTAGAAGGCTGGATGGGGCTGGGTATCCAGAGCCAGAAGCCTTCAAAAGAGCTGACATGCATAGCGGATGGTGCAGGCAGAGGAAGCAGAGGGAGGCAGTGGCCCTCGCCAGCAGGTGTAGCAGAAAAGGACCCAGAGACAAGACAGACGCTGGGGTTCAAGCTTCAAGCTGAAGATCGGAAAAGCAAAGCAGTTGGCCACTAGCTCTTACCTCTACCTCAGCTCAGACCAAAGGGGCGACTCAGACTGTTCCCGACTTTACAGCTCCTCAGATTCATTCAGACTGCTATGTCCTCTTCAACGTGGCCAGAGACTAACTCTCCGACTGAAAACTTCTACCTTTTATACCTCTAAAATGCTGGGATTAAAGGTATGAGCTCTGATTCACTCTCTGGTAGCCCAGGGTGGTCTTGGACTCAGATCCATCTACCTCTTAATCCTGAGTCCTGGGATAAAAGGTGTGTACCATCACTGCCTGATGCTTGAGGCTGCCTTTGCTTTCTGAATCCCCAGGCAAGTTTTAATCGTCAATAATATATCACCACAAACAGGGGTGTCTCTTTAGCTGTAAGTTCTCGATGACCCAAAGCTGTTGCAAAGACGGTCCTGAGTAGAATGAAGTAGTCTGGAAAATGGCTGGAGGTGCAGGAAGCCCCCAGAAGCACCGTGTTCCCACCAAGTGCAGACTCACGGGGCAGAAGGCCTCTGTGGGCCCTCATGTCTGACGGGCAGATTTTCCTTTTGATGACTGCAGAGGAAATCGAGACCAACATCTGACATCTGACAAAGATCCGCAGTTGGAGGCTGCCCGCCCTGCTCAGTGCTTCTTCCTCGGATGACGCTTCCGATGCCGGATGAGGCAGGAGCTGTAGGCGAAGGATTTCCCACACTCCTCACAGCCATACGGCTTCTCTCCAGTGTGCATTTTCTGGTGTTTCAGAAGATTGGAGCCACAGTTGAAGGCCTTTCCGCACTCCCCACATTTAAAGGGCTTCTCACCGGTGTGAATTCTCAGATGTTTGGTGACATCTGAGCTGTGTCTGAAGGTCTTCCCGCACTGGTCACACTTGAAGGGCTTCTCTCCAGTGTGGACTCTCTGGTGGCGAATGTGGTCTGTTTTGTGTTTAAAGATCCGGCCACATTCACCACACTCGTAGGGCTTCTTCCTCTGAAAAGGAACAAACACAGGGACACCCTCAAAGTCATCTTTAAAGGAGGCGTCAAAGGCATCAAAGATGTGTGCCTCGTCTTCAGGGCTCAGGACAGTCTGTTTGCGGGGCTTCCGGGGCTTGGCTGACCTCTTGCTGGGCTTCTTCCCCCGTGGGGCTTTCTCTCCTTTGACAGCGGCCTTCTGCACACTCTCCTCCTTTGGGGCCTGTGTCTTCTTCTTCCTGCCTGCAGGCTTTTCCATCGCTGCTCCTTGGAAGTGGGAACCACCCTGGGAGCCAGGGAAGGCTAAGGCTCCCAGCCAGCGGCAGCCGGCTTCTTGGTTGAGACTTTACTCTGTCAGGGACAGCTCACCACGCCCTGCTTACGAAGCTCCATTCTGGCACCAAGCAGACAGAAGCACCGTCCTCTCACTTCTGGAGGCAAAAGAATCAACAACAGGTTAGAGGCGTAGCCCACCTCGCCGGTACTCTCAACGCACTCAGCCACAGGCCAGGAGACAGACAGCCCTTGGCCCGAGGACAAGGTTTTCACTCATCCTACAGAACTCCACACCCACCAGGGACCAATGGTCACTTCCGACCTCCCCAGATGGAACCTTCCTTCCCACCTGCCCACACTGGGACTGTGCATGCAGGCTGCAGCAGCCCGGTTCGGAGCCTGGAACACTCAGGGTTGTCCTCATAATCTACAGCAGCCACCAAACCCCAGCACACCTCCAAAGGCTGCCCCTTGTGCCCACAAGCCTTTCTCCGTGTGACACCTGCACCGAGCCTTTTTATCCCTGCAGGCCTGAGAGGGTGCGCTACGCTGACAGTCCCTTCTAGAGCCTCCACACCTATAAAAACACAGCTGCACTGTGTTGGGAGCGCACCGTGTTTTGTTCTAAGCATTAGACAGACGCTACTTATCCAACCCAGCACATACAGCTCATCTGGATTCGGAGTCCAAGTTCCAGGTAACGCTCAGCTAGGCCCTAGCCTACACTGTCTGAACAGCAGCCTCTGAAAGTGATCGTCTTTTGTGGTGTCCCTGTCTGACAGCATCCAAGCTCAGCACCAATTCAAACACCATCACTCTGGGGAAAGGACTAACGAGCGGGACCCAGGTGTCTCGTGTTTGCTCACCAAGGCTCACTTTCGTTGAAAGCAGAAAACAGTCATTAGAAAGCAGGGAGGACCACAGCGACTGTGTTATTTGCCCCCTCCCCTCCCAGGTCCGCGCACAAGAGCGGGTGTGAGTGACTCAGGCAACTTAGTTCAATTCAGCGGGCGTCCATTCATCAGAGTGCTGCTTGGACCCGGCAGGACGCAGGGCTCAAGCCGCCCAGCAGCGAGGGGATTCGCTAGGAGGCCCGCCCCACCTCCCCCGCCTCCGGGACCTCCGCAACACCGCCGAGTGGCCGGCGGCCCACGGACAAACGACCCAGAAAAGCTGACCTTCCTTCTTCGGGCCGAGGACTTGGAGCGCGCATGCAGAAGGTGCCTGGTGGGTGCCGAACGCAGACGTCTGCGCGGGCGGGCTGGCGGGCTGGCGGGCGACGGTTACAATCCCCCCTTGAGCCCGCTACTCCAGCCTCTCCCGCGCCTCAAGGCGCCCGCCCCCTCTGGTGCCGCTCTAACAGCCCGGCCTCTCGGTGGTGCGGCCACAAGCCCCGTAGCCCCGCCCACCGTTCTCAGCCGCCTCCAGGGCCTCTCTAGGAGCCCCTGCCCGGCTCTCGGTGGTACCCCCGCCCCCTCATCCTCGCCCTTCTGGCGCCGCTCTAGGAGTCGTCGCCGGGCCTCTCTGTGGTGCTGCGCCGGGATTCGTGGGCCCGCCCACCTCTTCCCCGGCGTTTCGGGGCCTCTCTAGGAGACGCGGCGCGACCTCTCTGTGGTGCTGCGGCTGCGGCCTCGCGCACGCCGGGATGCAGCTGCCGAGGGTCTGGACGGCGGGCGGCGCTTTTCTCCCCGCGGCGTTCGCGGGCGCAGAGGCGCCTCAGCTTCTCGGGGCTCCCGGTCTTCGGGCCTGTCACTTGTTCTGCCCGTCGGCTCTGGGCCGGCGGGTCCCCGGCGTGCGTGGCGTGTGGACGCCCTGCACTCGACTGATTGCCCAGTCAGAGCCTGGCCCGGGCCTCCCCGGCGCTGTCCCTGGTCCCTGGCTGCTGGCCTTTCTCTGCAGATGCTTAACTCTGGGCCCTTCTTGTGTTGCTCCGACTTTCTGGATGCATCCTCCCTCACTATATCTTGTCCAGGTCGGCTTAGAGCTAGAAATTGCCTGCCTCAAGCTCCTTCGAGTCCTAGGATGATGCGTGCCCCACCGCGCTCGGAGAGGGTTGCAATTCCAATCGAGAGCTGCTGCGCGCTTGGCCGAGTCTCCCCGGGGACGCCATTTTGTGTGACCAGGGCCTTCCCTGCTTTAGAAGCCGGCATCTCAGACCCCTGATCTGTCGTCGTCCTCCCCCCCGCCCCTTTAGACTCATTGTCAACTAGACAAAGGTCCAGCGCGCAGCCTGCGGAAAGCTTGCCTATTGTCTGTCACTCGAGGGTCGCTACCCAGATTCGCGAGGGCGGCTGTGCATCGATCGAAGGGCGGTTCATTCGCCTCCTGACGGGACTGATCCCGCGCTGTGTGCACCACAGCTTGTTGGATCTTTTGCCCATGAAGGGTGATCATGAAGGTGCTGTGCAGACCCCGTGCTGGTTCATTTCCCCGGCACCAAGCTCAGGAATGCAGTTGGCTGGGTCCTAAACTGCATGTTTGCTTTTGTCAGGATCAGCCATGTTGCTTCCCAGAGGGCCTGTGCCATCTCCCATTCATTCCTACCAGCAGCATGGGGTTCCCTGCCTCACCAGCATTTGGAGCAGGGCGGTAGGCATTTTCCAGAGGCCTAGTCCTCTGCGAGCCTCTTGCCATCCTCAGCACCACAGTGACAAGTTTCTTACCTATTTCTAACGAGGACGGTTGAGTCGGATGTGGGTGGGCTGTGGACACAGGCCTTGTTCATCTGGTTCTCAGGCAGGCTCCCCCTCCCCTCCCATTGGGTCGCTTGTAGAACAGTTTGCTTTTGGAGTGGCTGCCTTCTGGAGAATTACACTCTTGTCGATGGGACGAGATTGCTAGGACCATGGCCTATGCTTACTCACATGGCCCTGGCTTTTCTCTAAGAAGACAACATGGTGTCTGCTGCGGAGAAGCCCTGGTGTCTGGCCACTGCCTTTGAGCTGTCTGTGCAAATGTCCCCTTTGTCTGATGGGCTGGAGTATTTAGTCCCCAGGGTCAACCTGAGGAGGTGCCATCTTCACTGATATGTGGCTGTGTTCCGGAGAAGTCCTGATAGTGGCCATTCACATGGGAACCTGGTACAGAGGATTTGGGTAGCTTTAGAGCTCTCTAGTGGCGATGGGTTGTCCCTGCACTGGCTTGTCTCTCTGTCATCGTCTTCTACAAACCACAGGGTTCTGGAAGGGTAGTGGTGATGAGTTTCCTTCCTCAGAGTTTCCTGCCTTGAGGAAAGCACCCACCCTATCCCCCGTCTCATCCCTCCTACCCCACCCCACCCCACCCAAAGGCTTTACAGGCCAGTAAGGCCACCTTAAATGAGTACCTTCTGTTCTGGGAGACAAGGCTGCTCCAGGGAGCTCAGGAATCAAGTCCCTGGCTCTGTTCCTATCAGCAGGAGGAACAAGTGACCCCAGAGTGGGTATTTGTCGTGAGTACACAGTGTCACAAACACAGGCGAACACACTTGTGTCTTTTCACAATGTCAGAATTTATTGAATAACAAGTTCACAAGCTACATTAGTTTCTTTGGCTATTATTTGTCAAGGAGTCCTGATTTGCCTTGACAGCGACTGCAGCAATCGTAGCTTCTTTTTTTTTTCTGGTTTCTCTGTATTGTTTTGGAGGCTGTCGGTCCAGCCTGGCCTGGAACTCACAGAGAGCCGCCTGCCTCTGCCTCCCGAGTGCTGGGATTAAAGGCGTGTGCCACCAACACCCAGCTCAATCATAGCTTCTTTTATTCCCATTGTAACTACTATGATCATACCTCAAATGGCACACAGTTGTTCTATCCGGACCTATAGCCATCATCTATCAGTTTATTATCTATCTATAGGGTAGGTTCCAGAATGGCTGTAACAAGATTAAAGAGGCTACTGCGGAATTCAGAGAGGCCTTAGTGGAGGCAAAGGCAGGAAGCTGACAGAGATGCAGAATCCCTGGTGCCTGAGACACAAGTCCTGTTGGGGAGCTGCGGCTAGAGGCCTCGATAGAGCCGGGTCCCAGTGTGAGAGCTCAGCTGAGCTAAGGCAGTGGTGAGGCCTAACCCCGTGGGGGCAGAGGGCAGAGCGGTGTCCGGATGGACGTCTCAGCAGTGAGGACCGTGCTGAGCCAGTGTCCTTGGGGCAGTTGGGTGTTCTTTGCTTGTTGGTTTCTCAAGTGCTACATAAGGTGGCCAAGCCACAGATTTATGGGGCTGTACCCATCATACTATGGGCTATCCTCTTAAAGTCTGTTTTCTTTCTTTGTGTGTGTGTGAGTATGGGCACACATGTGGCCATCAAAAGATCACTTTGGGTTTGGGCTTCCCCTTCTATCTTGTTTGAGACAGGCTTTCTTTGTTGTTTGTTGCTACATAATGTGAGGCTAGCTGGCCCATGAGTCTTTGGGCTTCTCCTGTCACCTCCCCCATCTTCTCCTGTCACCTCCCCCATCTTATCTTGCCATAGGAACACTGGGCTTATAGACATATGCTGTCTACCACATCTGGCTGTTCACAGCTCAGGTCTTCATGATTATGCAACAAAAGCTTTACCCACTAAACCATCTCCCCAGCCCTATTTTTTGCTTTTTATTTTATTTTGTTTTTTGAGACAAGATTTCTCTGTGTAGCCCTGGCTGTCCTGGAACTCACTCTGCAGGCCAGTCTGGCCTTGAACTCATGGAGATCCACTGGTCTCTGCCTCCCAAGTGCTGGTTAAAAGTGTGTGCCACCACACCCAGCTTTGTTTTTTAACTTAAAAAAGGTGAGTGTGCATGTGTTTGTGTTATATGAGTGGTATGTGCAGGTGTGTGTGTCCTGTGCACATGTGCAGATCAGAGGAAGATGACATCAGGCATCCTATCCTGTCATGTTCTACCTTATTCCCCTGAGACAGGGTTTCTCACTGAACCTGGAGCTAGGCTGTCAGGAAGCCCTAACAATCCTTTTGTCCTCATCCTCCCATAGATGTAACTGGAGACTTTTCTGTCCCACCGGGCCCAGCAGCCATTTCTTTTTTTTTTTAAAGAATTTATTTTTTAAAGATTTATTTATTTATTACATATACACCAGATTGAATTGTAGATGGTTGTGTGAGCCACCACGTGGTTGCTGGGAATTGAACTCAAGACCTCTGGAAGAGCAGTCAGTGCTCTTAACCTCTGAGCCATGTCTCCAGCCCCCCCAGCAGCCATTTCTAAATAATCACTCAGAGACTTAATATTCATTATAAATGGCTGGTGGCTCCGGCTTATTACTAGCTAGCTCTTACATTTGAGTTGAGCCATTTCTATTAATCTGCGTATCATCACGTGGCCAGTGGCTTACCAGCGGTGCTCTGGCATGCTGCTCCTTGGTCAGTTGCTGGCGTCTCTCAGACTCCACCCTTCTCCTGTATCTCTGCTTGGATTTCCTGCCTGACTCTGTCCTGCCTTGCCATAGGTCAAAGCAGCTTTATTTATCAACCAGTGAGAGCAGCGTATACTCACAGTGCATAGAGAGACATCCCACATCCCACAGCTCTGGGGCTATGTGCAACCCTGCCCAGCTTTTTACCTGTGTTCTGTGGATTTGAACTCAGATCCTTCTGTTTGCACAACAAACAAGCACGTTAGCCCTGAACTCTCTCCCCAGTTCCCAAAGTGGCTATTTTATAGAATTATTTACATATTTGTATTTAATTCTTTTACACCTGGGTTAGTAACACTATTTTTGGTCAAAAGAATAGAGGATCCAAATCGTTTATTCTTCTTTGGGTGGAGACATGACATTCTACACTGCTCCAAAGGTCATAACATTGCTATTTAGCGGGTGCTTTGAGGTGAAAGTCATTGTCCCCTCCCTTCAGAGTTAATCCAAATGGCTCTATCATTCACCTGGACAGAAAATGCTCTCAATAAAACCAATCTGTTCGCAACCCCAGATCAGAGGTGGTGACCCACTGAATTTAAGCATATTAGTCATCGGAGGAAAAGAAAGGTTTCCCTCAGTCCCCCAGTGCCGAATCCCCGCTGTTCGGAGGGGATGTGGTGGGAAATGTGGCAATAGGACAGACCCATTTTCAAGCACCGCTGGTGGGGGGCCCTAGTCCTTCTGATCAAGCCCCCCTGAAAAAAAGGAAAATAAACAGCTTTTCCAGAAATGTTAAGAAAATTTTCTAAACCCAGCAAGAGGGCTCGAAGCCTGGTGATCTGAATCCAGTCGTAGGATCCACACGTTGATGGATGATGCCACCTTAGCACAGGCTTTATTGGAAAGGGGCCTGCAGAGGTCTTATCTCCAGTGTAGGAAAGCAGAGGGCCTGGCGTCTGCTTCCAAGCTGAGGTGACTGTAGGGCAGAGGAGGAGAGGGAGGAGGAGGAGAGAAACATCCCTTTTTAGGACTGCTGTTGGCTGTT